ACACGCAGGTCCAGGGCCCTTCCAGGCTGGGCTGTGACCCCAGGCCGCGGATTTAAGGCCCCGGGAATTCGGACCTTCTGGCCCTGCTCCCACACGGCCTGCCAGCGCCGCCTTCGAGCGCTGGGGTTCAGCGAGCCCGATTGGGCTCGCCTGAATTTTGTCCCAGGTGAGATGAGGCGGGTGGGGGTGGGGTAAGTCAGGGGCAGCGCTGAGGAGGAGTGCAGCGTCTCCCTGGGGTCCAGCTCAGCTCCAGGTGGATTTTCACCTTAACCCCGCTTGTCCTTTAGTCCTGGAGCTTTTGGTTAAAATCTCGCGGAGGGTTGAGGACAGCACTGGCCCAGCGGTCCCTGCTTATTCCACATCACAGGTCTGCCGGGACGGAAGAACGCAGAGCCCACGGCAAGTCTAGCACTGTTCCAGGGTGGGTGCAGCTGGGTTTCGGAAGGCTCTGGGATGGGATGGCAATGCCCAAAACACTGGCCTAAATCCTCGGAAGGAAAGGGGAGGGAGCAGGTGGGTTCTCCGTGAAGGCATTGTATTTTGTTTTGGGGGCGAGGGGGGGGGTTAAAGATGTTATTTATTTTTAGAAAGAGGGGAAAGGAGGGAGAAAGAGGAAGGGAAAAACATCCATGTGTGAAAGAAACATCAGCTGCCTCTCCCACATACCCCCAGCCAGGGACCTGGCCAGCAAGCCAGGCATGTGCCCGGAGCCAGAACTTTGCTGGAGGACGTCCGGCCAACTGTGCCGCAGGGATCAGGGCAGGCCTGGCATTTTGTAGCGAGCCTTGCCTGCCTTCCAGAGCCAGGGTTCCTCTGCCTCCTCAAGCGTTTTCAAACTGGCAGAAGAATTTGATTTAACAAAAGGAGGAGGAAAGGAAGGAAGTAGCAACTGCTTTTACCTCCGGGCTCTGGGTCAGGGCCTATTGTCTTCCTTAGTATGCTTTTCTTGATATTTCATTTAAGAAACTTCCTTTAATGACTTTTACTTCAGTGATTTTTACTTTAATATACATTTAATGTCAGAATTTAAATGACAGTTTGCGAAAACATTTTAAATGGAGAAAATATATTATGTATATAATTAAAAATTCCCCAGAAAGATTGTATGGTTTTCCTCTTGCATGACATAAAAAAAAATTAATTGTTCAAAATGCCTTTTAGGAAAAAAAATATCATTATCTCATGTCCCTTCCCACATCACCTTTTTCTTTTTTTCTTTTTTTTCCTTCTTTTTATTTTTTCTTGCCTGCAAGGTTTCTTTTGAGAAATCAGCTGATAGTCTTACAGAAACTCCTTTGCCGGTGTACGTATTTTACTGATTATGCTATTACAGTTGTCCCATTCCCCCCCCCTTTATTCCTCCCACCCACATCCCCCTCCCCCTTAGTTCATGTCCATGGGTCATACATATAAGTGCTTTGGCTTCTCCATTTCTTATACTATCTTTAACCTCCCTCCGTCTATTTTGTACCTGACATTTATGCTTCTTATTCCCTGTACCTTTCCCCCTCATTTTCCTCCCACCCCCTCCCCGCCGATAACCCTCCATGTGATCTCCATTTCTGTCATTCTGTTCCTGTTCTAGTTGTTTGCTTGGTTTGTTTTTGATTTTTAAGTTCAGTCGTTGATAGTTCTGAGTTTGTTGTCATTTTACTATTGATATTTTTTATAATATTCTTTTTCTTAGAAAGTCCCCTTAACATTTCATATATTAATGGCTTGGTGTTGCCGAACTCCTTTAACTTGATCTTATCTGGGAAGCATTTTATCTGCCCTTCCATTCTAAATGAAAGCTTTGCTGGATAGAGAAATCTTGGATGTAGGTCCTTGCCTTTCATGACTTGGAATACTTCTTTCCAGCCCCTTCTTGCAAGGTTTCTTTTGCGAAATCAGCTGATAGTCTAATGGGAACTCCTCCCAGCAGGTAACTGTCTCCTTTTCTCTTTCTGCTTTTAAGATTCTCCCCTTATCTTTAACCTTGGCTAATATAATTATGATGTGCCTTAGTGTGTTCCTCCTTGGGTCCAATTTCTTTGGGACTCTCTGAGCTTCCCGGATTTGCATGTCTATTTCCTTCACCAGCTTGGGGAAGTTTTCCTTCATTATTTGTTCAAATAAGTTTTCAATTTCTTGCTCTTCCTCTTCCCCTTCTGGCACCACAATGGTTCGGATATTGGAATGTTTAAAGTTGTCCCAGAGGTACCTAAGCCTCTCATTTTTCTGAATTTTTGTTTCTTCATTCCGTTCTGATGGAATGTTTATTTCTTACTTCTGCTCCAAATTGTTGATTTGAGTCCAAGTCTCCTTCCCTTCAGTGCTGGTTCCCTGTACATTTTTCTTTATTTCACTTTGCATAGGCTTCACTTTTTCCTCTGTTTTGCAACCATACTCAACCATTTCTGTGAGCATCCTGATAATCAGTGTTTTGAACTCTGCATCTGATAGGTTGGCTGTCTCTTCATCACTTAGTTCTGTTTGTGCAGCTTTGATTTGTTCATTTGGGCCTTTTTTTGTCTTGGCTCGCCTGTTAAACATTGTAAAGGGCAGAGCCTTAGGTATTCGCCAGGGCGGGGCAACCCACTTGGTAGGGTTATGGCGTTGTATGTGGGGGTAGGGTCAGAGAGGGAACAATGGTGCTTGCTCTGCTCTCTGCCAGCTTTTAATCACTTTCTCTGCTGCACCCACAAGCAAATTGGGCCCTTCTGGTGCTGATTCCCGGGTTGGTGGGTTTGTGTACGTTCTAGGACCCCAGGGTCTCTCCAACGAACTCTCCTGTGAGGCTGACAGTTTCTCTGACTGCCGCAACCCCCACAGGTACTTACAGTCATAGGTTTTGAGCCCTAGGTTGCGGGGTCTGTCTTGCTCCCCAGTTGTTCTTCCCAGTTTATCCTCACACAGATGTGGGACCACCACTCCACCAGCCACCACCTTGCCAAGTGTCCTCTCTGCCCCTCCTACCAGTCTGAGTGAATGTTTCTTCTTTAATTCCTTGGTTGTCGGACTTCCATAAAGCTTGACTTTCTGGCAGTTCTGGTTATTTTTTGTTTTTAAGTTTGTTGTACTTATTTTGCTTGTTTGAGGAAGCAAAGTGTATCTACCTTGACCTCCATCTTGGCTAGAAGTCCCACATCACCTTTTTCTGTGTAGAGTTTGAATTCTTTTGATAAAAATGGACTCACGGTTCACAAGAATTTTTAAACTAGTTTCTACTTAGGATTAAATTAATAAACCTAGAACCACAATCAGAAGCATATTTTTTTACTGTGGTAATATGTATGTAACATAAAAAGTCTACTTTAACCATTTTAAGTGCACAGTTCAGTGGCATTAAGTTCATTCACATTGTTGTGTGACCATCGCCACTGCCCATGTTCAGAACTTGTTATCTTCCCAACCAAAACTACATGAATTAAACAGTAACTCTTCACTCCCAGCCCCTGGTAACCACCATTCTACTTCCTGTCTCCACAAGTTTGACTACTGTAGTATTGACAAAAGAAACGTCCAAACCTGTAGAGAATTTTTATGAGTCCATTTGAACCAAACTGATGACATATGCCAGGGAGCAAGATCGCAAATGCTCCAGAGAATAATAGTAAAAATATTGGGAGTTTCCTAGTCGCTTAAATGAAGAACCTTATTTTGCACAGTTCCCCTTTCAGGGTTACGTTAGGACAGTGTGGGTACCCTGTGTAGGGGCAATACAGAGTCAACTTCTTGAAAACAGTAACTAAGGTTCACTGGCTGCCTTCTAGTTGTTAAACATCATGACTGCAAACAGGATTTAATACCCAAGTCATTTTTGTTCACTCAGGCAGTCAAATTATCATGAACAAGGATTATACCATTAAGCCTAATATTTTTAACAGTTCTAATAATTTGCACCCCAAGATCTGAGGCCTGCATATTAAATACAGATTTGTTGACATGAAATGTAGAGTTTTAGTACATACAATGATGAAAGAGTTACTGGTATCATTCTGAAATCAGTGCTCTGATTTGGTTCTTGTTGTCCAGTCAGCTTCGGGGCTGGATACCTCTACCTCTTCTGTGGTTCTATAGGATGTGAACAATGTCCCATGAATAAAAGGGTTCCAGGGTCTGTGCATTTGGGAACCGCTGGCTGAAACGGGCCTCATTACCATAGAACTGATGCAATGACACACAGTGACAGTGTGTGCTGTTAAGTCACTGAGAGCTGGCAGCACACAAGTGGAGCCCTATCTGACCACGGAATGCTCTCCTTAGAGTACTGCACAGCACCTGTGCTCCGCAGGACGCACTCAAGGAAATGCTGATGGTTTGTTTGCTGTTTAAATTCAAGTAGTATCAGTTGTAAGGGCAAGAATCAGAGTTTACCGAGCTTGCTGTAGGCAGTTGCTTGAAGGCAACTTCATTTCAGGTGAAGCTATCCCAAGGTCAGCGCTGGCAGGAACCACAGAGATCACAAGATCTGTGGTTGTAGAATGGGTTCTATAATAAGCCACCTGACAATTCTAATGTTATTTGGCAACCAAACAGCTAGGTCCTTTTGCAATCTGTCTCTGACCTTTCTTGAGTAACTAGGCCATTTTGCAGTTTACACTTGAACTCTGCCCACCTGACCAACTGCATTCCCTGCATCGTCCATTTCACCACAGCACTCGTTTTACCAGTTTACTTTGTGCAAGGGAAACGGAGGCATCGGCCTGTGCTTTGCGGCCCCTCCCCTGCTGACCGGGTCTTATGACTGACTCCAGCCACTATCTCCTGGCACTTTATCTGCTGACCATGAGTTAGCTGAAACTGCCCATTATTCTTATTTCACAAGCCCACCTGCTGACACCGCAGAGCCCAGTTGCCCCACCAATCAGAAAATGAATGACAGAAGTTTATGTGCTTGCTCACCTAGCAACCCATTCCCCTGACTCTCACTTTTTAAATCCCTGCCTTATTCCTCCCACCTTGCAGTGTGTCTTTGATTCATGCCAAAGGCTGTGCTCTATCAACTTAAGAAATGTCCAAACCTGTAAGAACTTTTTATGAGTTTATTTGAGCCAAACTGATCGCAATTGCTGGGAAGCAAAACCTCAACAGAGTAAGACAATACTCTGGAAAAATGGCAGTTTTGCCCCTTATTTTATACATTAGATTCAAGAGAAGACAAAAGTGGGCCACAGGAAACCCACTGGTTAGGGAGGTGGGAGAAAGCGAAGCAGGAGGAGCCTCTGGGAGTGGATACAAAGTAAAATAATAGACACGTCTTTTCCTTAGGTGGGTACAGGATAGTTAACAGTGAACACAATGACAATAACAATGCGGAGATTTGTGGTCTCCCCCTGGTGCTTGTGGTGCCTGCGCTTTGGGGGGTCCAGAAAGAAGAAATCTGTGTTATCATAGATGCAAAGAGGCAATAGGCAGGCTCGGTTAGGGTAAAGATTGACTTTTGTCAGCAAAGACTCTACGCTAAGGACACAGCTGCCCATGACCTGCTTTTAGTTAGAAAGTTGTAACTTCAGACCATCCTATGTGGTTACGTCAGGCACCCGAGTTTGTGAGGCCGTCCCTTACTCAGGCCTCGCCTGAGGTTGCCGGGCGCGGCAGGCCCCTTTCCACCCTCAGTTCTGATTTGCATATTGTATCAGAATAAAGCTCCCTTTAATTCCTCAGAAGAGTCCCACGGACTTTCACTCACACACCTGAGGAACTTCACAAAACACACGTGGCTGGACAGCCTGCCAGGTGTTCCAATGGGGGCCGAGCGAGGGCCCGTGAGAAAGGCTCCTGCGTGGGTTCTGGAATCTGGCTCTGACCCGGAAATCCAGTGGCCAGCATCGGGGTGTCAGTCAAAAGTTTTCATTCTTAGAATCCTACTTACTGGTTTCTTTCCTTCAGTGAGTGAGCGCCCAGTAGTGCGTTCTCGTTACCAGGCTCCATGCCTGGCAATGGCCTGACTCCAGGCTAAAATCAAACAAGGGGAGTTTTTCTTGCATTGGGTTTAGTCTGAAGAGAGACTATTCACCCTCATCTAAACTGGATCATTTAGAACCTTGAAAGAACTTTTCTGAAATAGATTTCCAGTACATGTTTTATATATTCTATTGAAGTTTTTAAACAACAGCAAAAAAAAAAGCCATTCAGTGTAAAAACAGATACTTGTGAGATCGTGATTTGTAAATAATGTATATCTGGTCTTCATCCCCATCCCCCTTGGAATGTCCTAGGTGATGAGAGTGACAAAGATGCCTCTCGTTCTGTTAATGAAGTGACTGTTGAACCACCAACATGAATTACAAACAACTAATCTGAGTCTGTTTTAGAAAGATGTTTAAATTACTGTGGAGCCCCCCTTGAATTCAACACAAGACACCGTGGCCTGGAGAGAAACAGCAAATCTCCGGCAGCTGTCTCCAAGTCTGGAAAACCCAAACTAAGCTCTGGAGCTCCCGTAATCCTAGTTAAATGACACAGGAGCGTCATTTGGATATGCACTCTGATTTTTTAAACAGGAAGGACAGCCAAATTAAACAACCTCGTCAGTATCATCCAAGGGAGCTGAGAACAGAGTCCAAGTATTGACCACTAGCCATTATTGGGAAATGGCTTGGTTAGACCATTCAATGGGGATAATGGCACAGGGTATGAAAATGACAGGGAAAAATGCACAATAATCTAAGAGAACAGAAATCAGCTTCTCAGGAAGTATGGATCATTTACATGCTCCATTTCTAAAAGTCCTCTACAGAACTTTAAGATTACGTGCCACACACGTTGCTAAATAGAAACATGAGCACATGTCACCATGACATTGATATATATGTATATATGTTGAACCCCTGGAATTACCAACATTTAAGGGGTTAGCAACACGGAACCAACAGAACAGACTGAAATCGAGCTAGAAGACACAGAAGCCAAAAAAAGAGTTCCGAGAAAGGAGTACCCAGTAGGGCCCAAAGCAGCGAAGAGCTCAGAGAGAACTAAGGCGCCCAGTGGATTTGGGCACCAAGTCATTGGTGACCTTGACAAGAACAATTTCAGTAGATTGTTAAAGACAGAAGCTGGTTTACAGTAGGTTAAGGAAAGAAAAGATATGAAAAGTCTTTTTTTTAAAAAATAACATTTTGTTAGTTTATTAAATGGGAGAGTCATAAACACCATTTTTTTAATTGATTTTTGGGAAGAGACAGAGGAAGAAGGGAGAAAGAGAGAAACATCGATTTTGTTGTTCCACTTACTTATGCACTCATTGGTTGATTCTTGTGTGTGCCCTGACTAGGGATTGAATCCACAACCTTGGCATATGCAGTTGATACTCTAACTAACTGAATTACTCAGCCAGGGCATTGAAAAACCTTTCAATATTTTTCTTTTTTTTTCTTTCTTTCTTTCTTTCTTTCTTTCTTTCTTTCTTTCTTTCTTTCATTCATTCATTCATTCATTCATTCATCCTCATGTGTACTGAGTGGCTACTGGGTATAAACCAGTGGTTGGTTCTAAAGGGAAGAATGGAAAGAAGTTGAGGCTTTACAATTTTTCCCAAGTACTTAGAGCCCTATTGGCCTATGAAGCCCTCAGGGTTCTGACTCACTCATGCTTTATGTATATGATATAGTACAAACTGTTGAAAGCACTGAACAAAAGGTGAATTAAGTGATCAACATTCAGTGCAGTATCAGCCTTAGCATCTTCACAGTGGTACAAGGGTGTCGTGATTTATCCACTGCGGGTAATTTCTTCTTCACTCAAGATCACCCATTCTCTGCAGCTGAAGATGAGTCCTGAGGTCGCTTGGACATTTCTGCAGCATCAAACGGTAGCTTCTCAAAATGAAAGTCCCTCCACTTTGCATACAGTGTCTGAGCTCCAGTTGCAATATCCTCCACCACAAAACTTTCGATTTTTATAAGTGGGATGTCAAATGTCTTGTACCTCACATAGATCCCCCAGTCGTGGCTGCAGTCCTGTCTACCGCACAATATCTTTGCTTTCTTCTCAAAAATCCCCACATTCTTTGGTTTGGGGTGTGATCTAGTCACAAAGCACTCCCTGAAAGCATCTCCAACCACGGTGTAATGGCATTCCTATAGAGGAAGGGACAGAACATACACAACAGAATGTTACAACGAGTTCACAGTTGTTTTGGAAACACCTCCACAATGATCCGAGATGAACAGCAGGTGGGATCCTACTTATTGTACAGAAGGGGAAAGGAGGAGATACGATTCACCCGAAGGCCAGCATAGACTCCATACGGCCTGATAAACAATTACAAGTGAGGGCTGGGGGTGGAGGGGCAAGTGAGTGGACAGGGGACTCTCAAGAAGAAGAGGACTAAGAAGTTTCCAGGCAACCTAGCTTCTTGAAGCAGATACTCTTTATTAGTTTAGAAAGAAAAGGGGTATTGGTTGCAGATCTGTGAAGCCTGAGTTCACCAGTGTCCTGACAGGCATCATTCAAAAGATACAGGGAAAAAGAGCAAAGGGTCAATGTGGATCTCGACAGGGGGAGGGACTAACCTGTCCACAGGCCCCACCTACAGCTAACTTTAGAGCAAAGCTAAAAAAAACAAACAAACCAGGCTGCACAGAACAAATGCAGATCCAACTTACCAGTCCCTCAGGAAAACACACAGTCTAAAAGGGTCATTTTCAATAGAAAAAATCACCCAGCTGAAACGATCTTTGATAGTTAAGGAAGCAAACTCAGAAAGGTCTGGAAACTTGCCAATATTGCCCCTAATATACTTCCTGCTCAAACAGTGGGCCTGATTAGAGACTTCAGCTTTCTCAAGAGCAAACAGAACCCTAAAGAAATAATCACCCATCATCTGAACCAGCGCAGGCCCTCCACCCGAGCCTCCATTAGTAGCAGGGAAGTAATATCCCATTTCCAGCTTTTGAGATTTTCCTATTCTTTTATCTAAAAGTGAAAAGAAATAAATAATATATAGCATTTATTTATTTATTTGTATTTTTTATATATGTATAGTCTGCAGACAATGTGTTTTAAAAATAAGGAGATACTTTGCTTATAAAAGTGATTTGCATCCCAAAAAGGAAGTTCAGAAAACATAAAAAGTACAAAGAGAAATAAATCATGGAGTCTTGCTGCAAAATAATAATATATGTTAGTATATTTCCTGTAGTCTTTTCTCTGTACAGTTTTTCTGTATTTTTATACTGATAGTGGTATTGCTTCTACTTTTTCACGCAGCAATAATCGTAGCAAATTTATAATTTTGTATCCTGGTTATTTTTCCACTTTACAAGGAGTTTGTAAGAAGTTTTTCATTATACTATGTAAACTTTATAATCATTTTGTTTAATAAACCTTACTTTGGAATACTTGTAGATTTATAGGTGAGTTACAGATGTAGTCCAGAGAATTCTTATATACCCTTCAGCACCTTTTCTGAATGCTAACATCTTACACACCATACTACATTTCTCCAAATTAAGAAGTTAATATCGGTTCCGCCAAGATGGAGACGTAGATGGAGGATCCACCTCGCCTCTGTGCACAACCAAATCTAAGAACAACTATTTTTAACAGCAGTCACAACCAAGCCACACGGAAAATCGACAATACGGAGTCCAAAGGACAACTAGATACTCGGCTGGACCGGTACGAGGAGCAAGGCCAGCAGCGGAGCAGGTTAGCAAGAAAAAATTCCCGGGGCGGTGCGCGGCGCGCGCAGGCAACCGAGGGCACTGATCGCCAGCCAGCTGGCTGCCGGAGCGCACAGGGAAGTGGCGCGGCAATGGGTTGGTCGGTCGCGCGCATTTACGTGGGGAGAAGCCAGTGAGAAGGGAAGCCGGCGCGGGGCAGCAGGCTCGCGCAATTCCGATCGGATAAACCCCAGGCGTGCGGAGTGACTGGAAACGCTGGGCTAGCGGAGAGGAACACCATTGCTCCCTCTCTGACCCCGCCCCCACACACAGCGTCACAAACCAGTGACCTGGGTCACCCGTCCTGGTAAACAACTAAGGCTTCGCTCCGCTCACTTAACAGCGCGAACAGACCAAAAATGGCTCTAGGACAACTCAGAGCCCCAGAACCGATAGACCTAAGTGATGAAGAAATAGCCAGTCTTTCAGATGCACAGTTCAAAACACTGGTTATAAGGATCCTTACAGAACTGGTTGACTTTAGCCACAAATTAGAGAAACATATGGAAGCTAAATTAATTGAAATAAATGGGGATACAAAAGATTCCAATAGTAATGGAAAGAAAATTGGGACTCAAATCAAGGGAGAGAACCAGAAGGAAGAAAAAAATGATCAAACAGAAAGGAATGAAGAAATAAGAATTCAGAAAAATGAGGAGAAGATTAGGAACCTCCAGGACATCTTTAAACGTTCCAACATCTGAATTATAGGGGTACCAGAAGGGGGAAAGGCACAACCACCAGTTGAAAAATTATTTGAACAAATAATAAAGGAGAATTTCCCCAAGATGGCAAAGGAAATAGACTTCCGAGAAATCCAGGAAGCTCAGAGAGTCCCAAAGAAGTTGGACTCAAGAAGGAACACACCAAGGCACATCATAATTACATTAGCCAAGATTAAAATGAAGGAGAGAATCTTAGAAGCAGCAAGAGCTAAGGGGACAGTCACCTACAAAGGAGTTCCCATCAGACTGTCAGCTGATTTCTCAAAAGAGACCTTACAGGCAAGAAGGGGCTGGAAAGAGGTATTCCAAGTCATGAAAACCAAAGATCTACAACCAAGATTGCTCTACCCAGCAAAACTTTCATTTAGAATGGAAGGACAGATAAAGTGCTTCTCAGATAAGACCAAATTCAAGGAGTTCATCATCACCAAGCCCTTATTATATGAAATGTTAAAGGGACTTACCTAAGAAAGAAGATAAAAAAGATGAACAGTGAAAGGACAGCAAACTCACAGTTATTAAGAACCACACCTAAAACAAAAGCAAACTAAGAGGATAGCTAGATCAGGAGCAGAACCATAGAAATGAAGATCTCAGGGAGGGTTAGCAATAGGGGAGTGGGAGGAGGGGAAGGGGGGAGAAGGTACAGAAAATAAGTAGCATAGACAGTAGATAGAAAATACATAGGGGGAGGGTAAGAATAGTAGGGGAAATACAGAATCTAAAGAAATTGAGACACATGTTCATGAACTAAAGGGGGAAATGGTGGGGGAGGGGTATGCAGGGTGGAGGGGAAGGGAGGGGGGAATAGAGCAAATGTAATGGCATAATCAATAAAATAATAATAATAATAATAATAAAAAGAAGTTAATATCGGCCCATTACTATTAACTAAACTACAGATTTTACCTCTTTTCCTAGTAATGTAACAGATACAGAGTGGGGGCTCCCGAAAATAGCAGAGCATTTTCCTGACAAACCTCATTTGGGGGAAGGGAGAGCAGATAATAAATTGTTTCAGATACCCTGCATAACAATGGCAAGTTAACAGCTGTGCTGCCACCCTGGGCAAAGGTGTGCAAGACATTCAGAGCATTCAGTGACTGATGACCTAGCCAGGGGAGGTGGATAACCCTGTATCACAGGGAACTCTTGCCCTGACTAAAGATGGCAGCTGAAAGAAAGTAAACAACAAGGGGGAACTGGCAACAGTAGCTCATGGTAGGAGGGGCTGGATATGAGGTCACAGAGGAAGTTCTGGGCAGAGCTTTTAAAATAAGGGCGGGCTAAGAGATAAGGGGGTTCTGCCTGAGGTCCGGAACAGAGGCAGTAGAAGCCATCCAAGAGGAAAGGGTGTAAGAAGAGAGTTGAAGGAGCTGTGCAGGAACCTGCCTAACCAAGCACGGATTCCTGGGACATGCCTGGAGCTCAAGTGAACTGTGACCAGGAATGCTGAGCTGCAGACTTTGGCCTTTCTGAAGAACATACGGAGAAGTCGCTCTCTTGGGATGTGTGCTTTTCCGGATTTCACCACGATCCAGTGCAACATGGCATATGTTTTCCTGAACCACTACATGGAGACTGAGATCATTGTGCCCCAGATCCTGAAGGAGAAAGCTGCTGCGAGAGGAGGGTGACTTTGAAACCCACAGGAGCATTTCCAGAGGGGATGGAGCCCTGTTTGTGTAGTCAGCTTAAGAACAGATAAAAGATATGGGGAACTTCTGGGCATGTTTCCAGCTTATAGCCTTTTGAGGAGCAAAGGAAATGCTGGGTCTTGTGGGAGAACAGGGCCCTGAGCGGGAGTGCTCTCAGCATCCCCCTCCCAGGTAGGAATCCTGTAAATAAAAACCTGTTTCCTCCAACATGGATTGTTAGGTCATGCATCAAGGTGCCACTCGGACAAGCCCCTGGTTACTTGGTTACAGTAACACCCTTTTATCTTTCTAAAACCTAATCCAGGAAACCACAGTACATTTAGCATACCTATTCATTTTAATGGCTACATAACTCTTAATTAAGTGGCTGTGCAGCAATTTTTAAAACTATTTCTTTTTTGTTGAAATTAAAGTTTTTCTTAAACTTCTTAGCTTTTGTAAAATACGTGGACTGTGACATGATAAAGCTGTAAGGAAATGATAGTAAGCTCTTTATAAATATCTTACCACTAGTTGGTTAGCTTTAGTGAGTGCTAAGAAAATGACCCCGCTCTTTGTGAAAAAGGAGGCTTTTACTCACCTCTATCACTCTCACATCCGCCGTACAACACGCGAAGACTTTGCACTTCCTGCAGAGCAGCTTTTTGTTTTCCTTATCGAGTACAGGCTCTGCTTTTCCTTGATTATCCCTGATGAACTTCTCCTGAATCTGTATCTGGAGAATCTAAGTGGAAAAAAAGAAAACCCTCATAAATGTGGTTTAAGGATAACTAGGATGCACATAACACACACACACACATATCGTTTACTCTGCATCCACATACACTCCCACGAACATGTCATACCTGGCAGCTGTGTAAAAACCCCATAGATAATGTCATTGGTTCGCCTAACTTTCTGTTCGTCAATGTTTAACGGTACTTCGGTAGCTGGCAACACTTAAAATGTCCTTCACAAATAGACACATGATATGCATTGACTGTTTCAGACATAATTAAACCCACTTCTGAGGCATAAACCCACTGAATCAAACAGCAGGCAGAAGAGCCCTCACTATTTAAAAATCTTTTTATCTCTCTCCTCTTCCAACCACAGAGAGTATTGACTGCATTCTATTTCAAAATTTAGGCCTTGGCCAAGTACAACTTACATTTATTTAAAATTAACATAAGAAGATTCTAAAGGGTGCAGAGAGGAAGGCAGACCGGCTAGGAACCTTGGAACCCTCGGAGCAGCACGGCCGGAGGGGCCCTGGGTTTTCTTTCCACTGAGTGTGTATCCCAGATCGGAGCTGAAGAAGCAGGCAACCAGAACTGCCTATGGGTGCGGATAAAGTCTCAACAAAAGCCTACTCTCTCCAGCCAAAGGGCCAGGAAAAGAGAAGCCTAGAAAGACAGAAAACTTTTAGCTGACAACTATTTGACTCCAGCCAAACACCAAAGAATAAAACAAACCAAAACAAAAAACTGTGACCGAACCTCCACCCGTGCCGGAGCAGGCCGAGTGGGGAACCCGGATCCTCACTCTGAATGGCGGTGACGAAGCACCCCGACACTCCCACCCGGCGGTGTCAGAGAAGAGAGCCAGGACCTCCATGCCTGCTCACTAGCATCTCCCCTCGCCTCTGGCGTCAGCGGAGTCCATGTGGGGGGCAAATCTCCCCTTCCACCCAGCAGTAACAGGGAGTCTCCCCTTCGTCGCTGTCAGCAGAGGCTACACGGGGAACCTAGCCTTGCACCTCCACCTACCAGTGACAATACAGTGTTCCCCACCTGCTCTGCCAGAACAGTGTCAGAAAGAGCCAGCTAGCAGCACAGAAGGTTAAATAAGATCCCAAGCCTCATAATGTAATATGAAAATGTTTGGGTTTTCATAAAAAATTCACTCCTCATATAAAAAGCCAGACAGATCTCAAACTGAATGAAAAAAAGACAATCAGTACATGCCACCACTGAGAAGACAGAGATGTTATAATTATCAGAGGAAAAATTCTAAAGCAGCCCGGATAAAAAGGCTTCAATGGGTATTCATAAATGCTCTCGAAACATGAAAAACTGTAGAGGCTCAACAAAGAAATGGAGGCTATGAAGAAGGACCAAACGGAAATTTTAGAATTGGAAGATGTAACAGCTAAAGTAAAAAGCTCAGCGGATGGGCTCAGCAGCACGATGGAGCAGACAAAGGAAAGAATCAGTGAACTGGAACAGAGAATAACAGAAATTACCCAAATGGGATGACAGCAAGCATACAGAGTGAAAAGAAAATGAGCAGAGGCTCGGGGGCCTTACAACCATCAAAAAAGACCTGGCATTCATGTCACTGGAATCCTGGGCAGAGAGGGAAAAGAGCTTAAAAAGTACTAGAAGAAGTCCTGGCTGGTGTAGTTCAGGCCTACGAGTGCAGGCCTGTGAACCAAACAACCGCAGTTCGATTCCCAGTCAGGGCACATGCCTGGGTTGCAGGCCAGTTCCTAGCAGGAGCAATGAGGGGCAACCATACATTGATATTTCTCTCCCTCTCTCCTTTCCTCCCCTTCTAAAGATAAATAAATAAAATCTTTTTTAAAAAAGTACTAGAAGGGCCCTGGGACTGCGCATAGGGTGGATCCTCCATCGGGGGATGAAAGGCAATTTGATGTTTCTCTCCCTCTCTCCTTCCCTTCCCCTCTAAAGATAAATAAATAAATAAATAATTTAAAAAAAAAAGTACTAGAAGGAATTAAGGCTGAACATTTCCTAAGTTGAACATAATGTAATATAAAACTTCTAGATTCAAAAACCTGAACAAATTGAACAAATACCAAACAGGATAAACCCAAAGAAATCCACACTAAGATACACTATAATTAAATTTCTGAAGACTAAAAACATAGGAAAAAAATGATACCTTAGATACGGAGGAAAAACACTCTGAAATCACAGCAGATTGTTCACCAGAGACAGTATTTTCCAAAAAATGAAAGAAAACACTGTCAGCCCGGACTCCCGTACCCAGCAATACGCTTTCAAAAATAAAGATGAAGTCAAGACCCTCTGAGATGAAGGAGAACTAAGAGAATTTGTTCACCAGCGGAACTTCCTGAAAAGAATGTCAAAAGGAAGTTCTCTAAACAGAAGAAAATTAGAAAAGAAGGAATCTTAAAACATCACAAATGAAGAAAGAACACGGGGACTCCCACACTGCCAGCTGTAAAAGGTCTGCCCTGTCTCACCTGTTCGCGGGGTTGACTCCCGTTTATCGGATGGTGTTTTACCAGGGTTCCAGGTAGGACCACACAGCCCAGGTGCAAACCGTGCTCCTACCAGCTGTGTGATGTGGGGCAAGGCCTCAGTTTCCTCAGATACAAAGCGGGAACAACTACAGCCCCTACTCTGTGGGCTGCTGGGAGGTGACGTGTGCGAAGGACCACCTGGCACAAGCTAAATGCGCGTCAGTGTTGTCCTCGGTTTATTCGGCTAGTCATGTGCCCAAACCGTGAAAACGTTAATGACAATGTTCTGTACTTTCCTTTTGGGTCAGAGAAATCTCCATTCATCACTTATCTTTTCAGAAATATCATAGCCATGTTTATGTATGTTCTGTATAAACTCTGAAACCCTTTCATCACGTTGGACACACACTTTGATTCTGGGTTGCAATAAGCCTTTAAGTGAATATGGAGCGAATGCACAACTTTAAAATATTCCGACATTCCATTCAAGAGCAAAGCCTTTCTTTTCTTTTGTCTTAACTTACCTCATACATCTCAGTAAAAGTTTACTCGTCATCATTATTCATGCTTCAAACATTTGTGGTTAGGCCAGTAGGCCAGTAGGTTGAACAGGTGAGCTCTGCCCCTAACTAACTGTGATTTACTGCTACTGAAGCTCCTCGTGCCTCAGTTTCCCTCCTATAAAGTGATGTAATAAGAGACTCTACTGCAGGGCCTGGTGGAGGTGAACAATCCATGTTCTGTATGTGAGTTCGATTACTGTTGTCACTATGATGGGAATAATCTCCCTCTCCTTCACATCTTCTAACTAGTTACTCATCATTCATAAAAAATGCATTGATTTCTAAAGCTCTTCAAGTTCAAATAAAGCTTGACTTCAATAAATAAATTTAGGGCTGCAAAGTAGCAAAACAATCAAGATAATCACCTGAAATTATCTTCACTGTTTTTGTAAAAAGAAAGAATGTTTATGGCCTCATATTTTTTTATGATTTCATGTATTTATTTTTAGAGTCAGGGGAAGGGAGAGAGAAAGAGAAGGGAGAGAAACACTGATGTGAAGATGACATATCAAATGCTTGCCTCTCGGGCGCCCCCAACCAGGGACCTGGCCTGCAGCCCAGGCACGTGCCCTGATGGGGAATTGAACTGGCGACCTTTTGGTTGCAGAACGATGTCCATCCCACTGAGCTATACCAGTCAGGGCTATGTCTCCTTTTTTCAACTCAGTGTCTCACTGCTGTAAAACTGTTACATTATGTGTACTTATTTCCATTGCCATTGCAATTATTTCCTTTGGATAAATTTCTAGAAGTGAAATTCCTGGGTTATATAGTACACATTTCCCTTTGAACAATTTCAATGTCCTTTTCCCACATATGAATCTAGTCACTACTTAGGGCTGACTCAGGGTGGGGAGAATGTGATAGGAATGAGGGTAAAAATATAAACTTGCCCTTTGGGCATCCAATTTTTTAAAATTCACTTAAATCTAATGATGTTAAACTATGTGCTAAAATTCATCTAAATACTCATAACCCCAAATATTTTATTTTATTTTTAAATCTTTATTATAGTTTACAATCCCAAATATTTTAAATGTTACTACAGGTAGTAAATCCCAGTAAGTTAAAACGATTACAGCTATACTTAAAACTAACTCAATAACTGGATACAGAGGCTCAACCATTGCCACGAATTAACCTGTACAGCACACTGCCTCTCCCCTCCACCTGAGGCTGGAGAAGCAGCCCAATCCCATGCACCGAGGCGGAAAAGAGCACAACTATGAAACCCTGACCGTGTGCTGTCATGCGTACAAGTCATGCTGGAAGGCCTTTCATCAAAATGAACTTCATATTACCCCACATCTCATTCTCTACTCTGTGAGGAAGGAAAGTGGGCTTCCTCATTTTGATTTCAAATTAGAAAGAACTGTGAAAAATGCCCTTTATACTTTACTTCTCTAGAATGAAATACTCCCAAATTCTGAAGCTTCCCTCATGGAAACCAGTCCTTGGATACGCCTGGACCATCCACATGTAAAAATGGCTGCAGAGGATCCCTGGTTCCTCTGAGGCAGGCCGGCCACGGCAGGCAATGACCAGTGCAGCTGTGGGGCGGGGAAGAAAGCGTACACTCTCCACCTCCACCTACCGCTGACTGCCCTAAAGAGCACCGAACTTCTCCCCTCTCTCCTGCAGAGCTCTTCTTCCCATTGAAGCCAACACGCAGGGGCCAGGGGGCTCACATCCAACATCCGAGCCCTTATCTAAATGACACAGAGAGGGGTCTCACCCCAAGAAACATCACTACTTTTAGTTTTGATAGGGGACTCAAGACTTGGAAAATTTTAGCTTAAGGTAAAAAGTTTTAAGTCTAGCAAGTAATGTGTATGTTAAAGCTTTTGTTTCAGAAACTACAGATAAGGCCTGTCCTGGCTGGGGGTGTGGGGGTGGAAACAGCCGACCTCCTGGGGCACTGATACAGATCACTGCCTGGGGACAAGTGGAGGCATCCGGGCCTTTGTGTTCCAGGGAGAGACAGACAACCACCACCCCTGGGAACAGCTAACTGCCCTGGACAGGAATGTTGCAGCTTCTATCACTTAATCCTCCCTGAATCTCAAAGCCCTCACCGCAGCTTGTGTATTCACTGGTATAAAAATTCTGGCCTAAAAGGAAAAGGCAAGATGGCCTGTTAGGGTATGAACCCACCATCTTCTCAGATCACCAGCCATCTGAATAAAACGCCCATAAAGATTCAGTCACTGTCATTGCTTATTGAGTTTGGTAGTGACAGGCAGCCCGAACGCCGGTGTCTTTTCCGGTTACAGTTTTAAGAGTATAAGGTTATACTTCCCTTATTACACTTCTACTAAACCTCTGAAGGCAAAGCCTTCCTCTTTCAATGGAGCAGCTGGTCATCTATGACAGGACGGGGCAATGCCAAGCCTCTGAGCTCCTAATGACCACAGAATGACTCCCAGCTGCATTTGTCTGGATTCCCTCTCATTCTTTACCATCTCTGCTGATTTTCCTTTTCTTTTCAAATTTTTACTTATTGATTTGAGAGAGAGGAAGGGAGAGAGAGAGAGATAAACATCGATTTGTTGTTCCATTTACTTATATATTCACTGGTTGATTCTTGTATGTGCCCACACCAAGGATCGAACTCATTACCTTGGTGTGTCAGGACAAGATTCTAACCAACTGAGCTGCCTGGCCAGTATAGGGAACTGTTCCGCATGGCGTAGAAAGGTAGCCCAGCTCCCACTTGGAAAGGCCAATGGGAAGTGAGGTTCTGGCACACAGGACCCAGTAGGTTCTTCCAAGGGGAATCAGGCCTGTATTGTACCTAGGCTGCTATGAGACTTGCTTTTGCCAAAACTCCCTCACCCTGAATTGAGGCAGACACTGCTTACTGTAACTTCCTAAAGTCTGTGCTAAACCTCACAAGTATGGAGTGTAACCAGTTCAACCACTTTTCCCCTTGATCTGTAACATCCTTCTCTTTGAAGTAATTAGCAACATTCTTTCCTTTGTTATCTGTAAAAGGTAATCACCTACAGTGAACCTGTACAAAGTAAATGAGAACCATCCTCAATGTAAGGTACCCAGAGAAGCAATAAAAGCCTGTCCAGACAGGGGCCAGAGCCCTCTCTCTCACTTAGAGAGTGGTCATGCTGTCCCTTTTCCCCACAAGACTTCTGTAGTTACCGTGTGTATTTGTGTGTCGCCGCCATGACACACAGATCCTGCCGGCCAGGATCCGCATCAGGCCAGGGCACCATGTTCTCTCTGTAGGTGTTAGGGGAATCCCAAATGCTATTCAATAGCCTAATTCAACAGATACATATCCCGTTTTCTCCCGACTCCACTACTCGACCTGGTGTGCTGGCTACAGAAGACTGTCTATGCCTGGTCCAGCCTCCATCTCCCTCAGTCGACCTTTATTGTCCTGCCACATAGGGAGTCTAAAAGTAAGTAGCTTGTCAATCCATGGAGTAGATAAACATTATTCCACAGGTACTAAAGCTAGTACAGTTTTAAGGCCTTTATTGGCAACATCCTGATGTCCTATAGGCACAGTTAAAATTCCCTATCCCTTAGTAAAATTAAGGAGGGAAATTAGGAGGAACTAAAGAATTTCCCTACAATTCTTCTCACTGAAAATATGAAAGAGGTGTTTTCAAATATCTTGGTCTCCAAACTTTAGGAAGAAGCATTTTTTAAAATGAGTAAACACTGACATAAATTGTATTTTTTGCCAAAATAATCATTACTTTCCTTTACATCACTGTTTCTCAGTACTTTTTTTGATCACTGAGATTATGACTTCAAATTGTGGACACTGTGGAGTCGCTGTCCTGAATTGGAAGGTTCATCTTCATCTTCATGAAAAGTGTGCCTCACCCGTGTCCAAAAATGACTCATTTTGTGAGCACTTATTTTATACCAACACTGTGCTAACCAATGCACACATCTCATTTCATCCCCCAAACTTCCCTGTGAGTTTAGTGCCATTATTTCTCCAACTTTACAAATGAGGGAACTGATGATTTGAGACAGAGTGATGACCTGAACTCACTCGTAAGTGGCAGAACTGGAAATGGGACCACTGATTGTTACAGCTGTCCTCTGGCCCCACAGTGTTTGATGCTTCCAGAGATTCTGAGGTGGAAATCTCTGCAAAGCCTGGAGAAAGTGTGGGTGTGCACGAATGTGCATGTCTTGATTTCCCCTCATCTCGTTCTATGTGTCGGAGGCATAAAGGAAATTACATTAAAATGAAGGTTACCACCCAGAGGCTGAACTCAACTGAGAGGTGTGCCACTCCAAAGGACACATTACTGTCCATGCCCACAGTTAGGCATTCCGACCTGGGCACAACACAATGGGAGCTTATCTCTGAGGACTTGGGATGTTAGAAAGAGAGATCTGAGGATAGATAAGGTCAAGAAGGGCTGTGTCTCGCAGGATTTGGGTGTTATCCTCAAGATAAACTATCCACTTAAGAGCAATTCTAGCTCGGTTTTCCTTTTACATAAAAAACTCCCCACAACTTTCGGTATTAGCATTAATAGAATATATTTAATCTCATTGAGACTTAAAAGCAGAATGAATCTGAGGTTCGCTGCAGGACACATTTTTAAGCTTACACTTATTGCTCTAAGGCAACACTCAGCCATCTGATGCAACATGCTCACAGCCCCCCTTTCTCACTGATGGGCAGATTCTGAAAGAGCAGCACAGACAGAAAGACTTACCTTTTTTTTAAATACTGCTTCATCCCATGTCTGAAGGCTTAAAATGGAGTTATTCATCATTCTTTCTTTGCACATGTTCATTTTTTCTTTTTCAATTACATCAGCATTACTAGTCAGAAGGAAGCACTTGCTACCTCTTGCTCTTCCTCTGCCTGTTAGAAAATAAGTATTTCATTTGGTGTGTTTAACTTAAGACACTGATAAATCTAAGAACCGGTAAGCAAAGAGAAAGGGATATTCCTAAAATTCAACTCTGGCACACTGGATCCCGCTTCGCAGGTAAGCTGAGCTGTCAGAGAGCAGGCTTGGGTGCAGGTAGGCACCTGTGCACTGAACATGCCCGTGAACTAGGAGCCGGCCTCAGACTGGCTTCCTCGGAGTCTCCGTGCTGCCACGTGATCGGAGAGCCCCGTCATCAGAAACACTGCTTTATAGGCAATCCAACGCGAACCCTCAGGATGACACAGAGGGCTCCGAGCCAAATAACAGAGATCCTCACTCAGGAGCCTCCCAGGAGATGGGGAGATAAGCTATGTTGACACCCACCAGAATCAGGTGGGAAATGGTAAGTGCTGAAAGACAGATGTAAAGAGCTATGGATGTTCAAAAGAGAGATGACTGACAGCCAGGGGAATTTGGGACAGGTGATATGGAGAGAGAGGGAGAGGTCAAACGAAGATCATCAGTAGCAGTACATGAGCAATTCATTCAACAAGGAAAAAAATCACAAAGTCAGGTTGGGAAATAAGGTTGGAAAGGTACGTGGATACTCGATTCGAAATCTGCGTAACGTCCAGAAAATTGAGGAACCACTGGAGTTTCTGTACAAGGAAGTGACATGCTCAGAGCCATTTTCTAGGAAAAGTAACACAGCAGCCATTGTTACAGAAACTGGAAAAAGGAAGACTAGTTAGGAGCCTGTCTAGTTTAAGTGGGATGGAAGAGCCCCTTGAATACAGAGGGCCCGGCAGCAGCACAGGCACAACCTGGAAAGGCCACGAGATGACTGTCAGGGCCTCGGTCCAAGTGAGACTGTCCTTCCATGAACACGTGAACTAGTGTTGGTCAAGTGTGCATTTTTCTTCATGACCAGGGATTAAAACAGTGGACAAAACTGTAGCCACCCCGTCCTGACCAAATAAGCCACCTTTACAGCAGTGATACCACAGCACACGGTGCCATTGGTCACACACACGAGTGTGACCCAGTAAAGAAGGCCAGAGAGGCAGATCCACTCACACATCAGACAAACTGGCAGCCACTGAATAAAGGCACTAATGCTGCTCTCACCTCTGGTCTGGATCATTTTGATGACATTGCCCACATACTCGTACAGGATGACCAGGTTGCACTGCGCGATGTCAATGCCTTCATCAGCCACCGAGGTGGCAATCAGGATCTTGTTGTCTCCGTGGGTTCTGAATGTGTCCAGTACGCACTTCTGTGCTGGGAGGGTCATTCCTGTGGCAGAGTCGGAGGGCAAGACATAGCTCACCACGGAGGGAATTTCACCCTTGAAAAAGCAGCTATCAAGAATGGGATTCTTACTACATGCCAGGTACTGTGTAAGTGCTTTATGTTCGTGATCTCCCGGCAGCCCCGGGCAGTGGGGCCTATTCTGGTTATCGCTGCAGAGAGGACATTTAGTGTGGTGACAACTTGGACTCTGCTCCAAGACAGCCTGGGCTCAGATCCCAGCCTCAGCACTCACCAGCTGCGTGGCTTCAGTCATGTTGTCTCAAAACAAATACTGATTTTTTTTGCAAAAATAAATAGTAGTGCCTCTGCATTATATAGGAGTTCACAGCTAATGAAACACTTTCATCTACTTACTCCCTGGAACATCACAAAGCCCCTTTAAATGGATGTGGCCAGTGTTCCGATTCCCCTTTATGGATGAAGAACTTGAGGTTTGGGAAGGACGGTAGACTCACAGCCCAGCTCACAGCGGAGCCAGGCCTTGCATTTTCAAGTCTAGGGAGCTAATAGTGCGCAGTTCTCAGCCCCTGATATGATGAGAGGAGCAAGAATTTCAGAGATCATCACTCCAGAGTTGATGGAATTCTATTTTTTCTAGTACACTGGCAGTCAAAATCTTGAGATATATTTTGTGAAGACCAAACTTCTTTTCACTATCTACTAAACAGTGAGCGTGCCCAAGACAGACACCTTACTTCACTAATTTCTGAACTTCTTCATCCATTTGTTCATCAAACACTTATTCAGCATTATGGTTTATCGAATAAGGGCACAATGGTCAAAGGCCCACTTTCACCTACAAGGAGCTCGCAGCTGGAGGGAGACAGATGTCACAGGTGGAGGGAGACAGATGTCACAGGAAGCTGTGACCCCCTGCGACGGCCAGCGGGATGGAGGCAGGACAGAGTGCTGGGGGGGGCGGTTGGCAGAGGGACAACGACGGGCACAGAGTAAATTCTAAATAAATGGGGATGGATGGGTGAATAAATGAAGAAACCAATAAGAAAGTGTTTTCCGAGTGCTCATTTGTGAGGAAATAACAAAGTTGGGAAAACCATGTAGCAGTCTCACTGGAGTCAGATGGCAGGGAACTTTGAACTCCAACCACAACAGTGTGGTTTGGGACTACATATGGTAAGCCAAATTTTCAAAATATGAACTTGCACGAACTTTAAAATTTGTATAAGGGGGAAGTTCAAATGATGACTGAGGACTGACGAAGTGGGAACTGCTTACTATAAACCACACTAACTAGGAGAATCAGAGTGAGGACCTGACGCGTGGGGAGCACAGCCATGAGACTGTCGGGGGGTGGGGATGGCCGCCTGGGCTCCCCCTGGATGAGAACAGAGGCGGCCTTACATCCTCTGGCCACTTTGCTAGGTTTCAAGATTGTTTGCTTGGACTATTTCTTCTTCAAGATTTTACTTATTTATAGACAGAAGGGAAGGGAGGGAGAAAGAGGGGGAGAGAAACATCAATGTGTGATTGCCTCTCATGCTCCCTACTGGGGACCTGACCCACAACCCAGGCATGTGCCCTGACTGTGAATCGAACCAGTGACCCTTTGGTTTGCAGGCCCACACTCAATCCATTGAGCCATACCAGCTGGGGCTGCTTGGACTACTTTTTAAATTATAAAATGTATAATACACACGAAAGCATCTACAGTTTAAAGAACAATAAAATAGAAACAGATCATTCCTATTTCCAGTTAATCTATTGGGTGAGCAAAAGAGTTACCTGCTTAAAAAATGTTAAAAAAAATACTTTGGTTTTGTCAGCAGGACATATGGAAGGAGATGTAATCAAAGTTCCTCATCAGTTGACATTAAGTTAGACAGGAGTTTCCCCCCTGGTGGGCCTGACCTAATCAAGTGAGTCCTTTAAAAGAAGGCTTTGGACTTTCCTGAGCTCAGAGACTCCAAACAGCTCGTGCCTATGGGGTCCCAACCTGCTGCTGACCACCTGCCCTTCGGACTTAAAACTTCCTTTGCCAGTACAATGGTATATCCCAATTCCTTGTAATAAATCCCTGGGTGTGTATATACACATATGATGTATGTACATATGAATATATGTATGTATATATAATCTTCTACTAGTTTTGCTTCTTTCGTTGAACCCTGACTGATACCAGCATTAATTTAAAAATTGAATAGATTATATATATTCTTATATATATTATACCATATATAAATACCTATGTTCTGATTTGTTTTGCCACGTCCAGTCAATATGCCAGGTTTTAGAAAGCTGAGTGTAGAATGTTCCTCAATCCATTTCTTTAAAGCCTGAAAATGAAAAGCAGTTTTCAGCTGGATATTATTTGTATTCCACCTGTATTAATTCAATACTGAAATATATGCAAGAAGAAAAAAAACTTTAAGTTAGTATACAGACAGTTTTCAGACTGATAAACCTAAGAAAAAAAGCTTCTTGGAACTGAATTATTTATATGCAATAATTAACCATAAAGATATAAATCTTTGTGATCTCATATGGTTTGATCGCTAAGATATTTTTAAGTGAGAAAAGCAAAGTTTAGAAGAATGTGTATATATATATAGAACTGAAAAGTGAGTTTATTAGCAAGATCTGAGGACACAAGATCAACATACAGAAATCAGCTGTATTTCCACATACTGACAACACAAAATTAAAAGGACCATTTACAATTGCATTAAAAAACAATACTTAGGTACAAGTCTAACAAAATATGTGCTGAATCTGTATGCTAAAAGCAACAAAACACTGGTGGAAGCAAAGACGTGGCAGGTGCCCTCTAAGGCAGCCACCCCTCCATGATCTGTACCTTCATCTTCAGATCCTCACGTCCCTCCCCCTCAAGCGTGAACTGAACTCACTGACTTGCTCCTAATTAATATAATGACACCCGTGATGAGATACCACTTCCACACTGAAGTTATCCCAGGCACTCTTTCTCAGTCTCCCTCGATCATTCAGTCTCGGGGAGGCGGGCTGCGCTGCCGTGACGCGGCTCTGTGGAGAGGCCCCACGAGGGAGCTCACAGGCACGTGCTGGGCCTGCCAACAGCCAGCCGAGTGAGGCTGGGGGTCCAGCCTTGAGGTGACTGCAGCCATGGCCGAACACCTTGGTTACAGCCGAGTGAGAGACCCTGAGCCAAAAATACCCAGTTGTTTCCAGCTTCTGGATGCATAGATATTGTAAGATAATAGATGTCTTTGTTTCCAGTCACTAAGTTTTGGGGCAATTTGTTATCAGTGAGAGATAGCTAATACAGAAGCCTTATATAAATGAACAGACATATTATGGTCAGGAATTAGAAGGCTCAATAGTATTAAGATGTCATTTCTGCCCAATTTTGTTTACAGATTCAACGCAAGCCCAAAAGAAATCCCAGTAGGCTTTTTCATAGATGTGAACACGCTGATTCTAAAATAAAAAATAGAAAGGCAAAGGAAGATAACTAAAACAATGTTAAAAAAAAGAAAAAGTTAGAGAACTCATATTAGTTGATCTTAATAGTTACTATAAAGCTATAGCAGTCAAGACAGAGGGGGATGGGTGGAAGATTAGATGTATACATTAATAGAACAGAATAAAGAATACAGAGATAGATCCAAAAAATACAGTCAACTGATTCTTGAAAGTTACCAAGGCAGTTAAGTGGAGAGAGAACAGTGTTCTCCACACATAGGGCGACTGGAACAGCAGGATGTCCACACACAGTAAAGGGGAAAAAGCACCTCAACCACACTTCAAAATAAATTGCAGACCTAACTGCAAACTGTAAAACTATAAACCTCCTACAAGATAACCCAGAGAAAGTCTTTGTGATCATGGGTGAGCAAAGTGCTCTTAGGGACCAAAAGCACAATCCACAGGAAAAAAAAAATTGATTAACTGGGCTTCAACAAAAGTTACACCGTCAATCTGTCAAAGAGAGTCCTAAGAGAATGAGAACACCAGAACGAAAAATTTCAAGTCACATTCCCCACAGAGGATGTCTTCATGAGACTTCCTACAGGAACGCTTCAAAACTCAGCAGTAGCATGATAAACAATCCAACTACACCCAGTTTTAAAATGGGCAAAAGGTATGAACAGACACTTCACCAAAGAAGTTATATGGATGGCTAATAAATACATGAAAAATGTTAAAATGGTATTAGTCATTAGTCAAATGCAAATTAAAATTCTGGTGAGGTATCACTACATACTCAGAGAATGGCTAAAATTTTTTACACTGATGAAAAGAATCAAAAATGCATAAAGGTACCAAGACACCATTATAAACTATAGAGGGATTACAACAGTGAAGTGAAGAAAGAACAATCTTTTCAATAACATGGTGCTGAGTCATTTGTTATCTGCAAGGAGAAGAGGCTTACGTCCACAAGGGCTCTGGTTTTCACAAAGAGAATGGTCCTGGTCTCCGGGTTTAAGTGGTACTCCTCTTGCAAGATGTAGCAGAGGTCCGTGAGTTTAGGGTTCTCGTTGCTGGGATCCGTGGAAATGCTCTCTAGTTCTTGCAGCTTTTCTGCAAAAGAAGAATGTTTTTATAAATGACTTATGAATTCTAAAACTCTAGGACACACTGACTTTCAGCTATCGTTCAGGTAATCTCTCAATCTTTGACCAGAGTTTTATAAATGATAACTACCGATTTAATGCATACATTAAATACACTAATAAATGCATTTTCCCCCGAGAGCTGGTTAGCAGCCCACCACTGGGTTACACATATACGTAATAAATACTTCCGTATAGTCCCCCCAAAATTATTAATTGTAATTACCTTTGGGGGAAAAATTGGGGAAGAGGGAAAAGGAAAATTTGCTCTTCATTTATATCTTCCTATATTTTTCTTAATATGAGGGATGTGGGACTGAGCCAGTTTGGTTTTCTTCTTTACACAGAAGTATATATAAATTATAGTATTTTAAATATCATTAGAATACTTGTTTGCATTTTATAAACCTTTATCAAATCATTAAAATATGCTACTATCAATTAACTATTTCTATGGAATGTATCCTTTGCAAATCCTACTATTTTTCCTTCTTCAAAACTGGAAATACAGTAAGCTGCAGATTCTTTCCCTAAGTACCAGACTTCACTGAAGCTTAACAGTCCTGCCATCTATGATGTCCTTGTAAGCCCAGGACAAGTCTGTGAGCAACACCACGTGCTAAGTACAACACCACACAATTATGCGGCCACTGGAGTCACCAGGCCCCATGGCTCCCTCCACTGGGGACACCACCCACCTTCAAATCTTCGAGTGAGATCCTGCTCAATCTCATCAAATCCTGATGCGCGGACATTACAGAAGAAGTCTTTCAAGTAATCCAGAGCATCTTTTGTCCGAGCATGCTCGTTGATAATGAGAGCATCGTTAAATTTCTGTGCAAAATGAAAACTTAGTTTTAATATATGTTTAATAAATTTAATATAATAAATTTCTAATGTCTTAACACATTCACCATACTTATGTTCAATTAGCTGTAACTTGGCATGGAATTAATTTGAAGAATAAACTTTTCTCAAATCTATTCCAACTTAGGGTTTCTTTTTTTTTAAGACTTTATTTTTAGAGATAGGGGAAGGGAGGGAGAAAGAGAGGGAGAGAAACAGCAATGTGTGATTGCCTCTCATGGGCCCCTTACCAGGGACCTGGCCCGCAACCCAGGCCTGTGCCCTGACTGGTGATCAAACCTTTTGGTTTAGAGGCTGCCGCTCAGTCCAAGAAGCCACACCAGCCAGGGACCAACTCAGTTTTCTAAAATGAACAGTCCCTACTGGTACTTGATAAAATCATGGATTCACATACTCTTTGGGAAAAAAATCTCAACTAACTAGAATCATTAATTAATTAGGATCACTTTGTATTCTAGAGTTCTACCTTGGAAAAGAAAGAAAATTACAAGAAAAATGCATGCCAAGATTAAAACACACACACACACACACACAGAGAGAAAGCAAATCAGCTTCCATATCAACCTGCCTCATAATTCAGACATTCAATTTAATCTTTTTATACATCAAAAGTATCACTGAATTGCAACTGCACCTGTTTATAATGACAGCACTGAGCCCTGGCTGATGTGGCTCAGTGGATTGAGCACCAGCCTGTGAACCGGGGGATCACTGGTTTGATTCCCAGTCAGGGAGTATGTCTGGGTTATGGGCCAGGTCTCCAGTAGGGGGCATGTGAGAGGCAACCACACATTGATGTTTCTCTCCCTCTCTTTCACCCCCCCTTTCTCTAAAAGTAAATAAATTTTTTTTAAAGTGTCAGCACTGACCAGCCACACCAAATACTCAGTTAAATTAATTAAAAGTCTATAAATGCAGCCGAGTGTGTTCTAAAACACCTGCATTTTCCTTGCGTGCACGTGGCTTTATCAAGGACGAGAAAGTGTGTTCCGTGACAGGGCGGCAGGCGTCCTCACTGAACGCACCAGTTGCGTGCCTACAGTCCTGTTTCCTCATCCCCCACCTTGTTCTAGTCATGTCAGTCACATCAGTCATGGGCATGCTGGAGACACGGCACAGAGCCTCCCTTTGGTTCTGTCCTGTGGGCTCTCGTGTTAAGTTTCAGAAAGCAGACAAAGAAGATGCTGAATGGGGCAACTTTTGGAGTTTGCTTCATAAGAACCTTCTGGAAAATTCCTAAGTGAGCTGCTGGGAACAGGATGAAAAGCTGACGTCCCCTCAGCTGCCCATGGCACAGCTCCCAGTAGGGCTACAACTAAAATGCGCCCCCCTAAAGAAGCAACGTACCCGCAAGTGGGAAGTGTACAGAAAGAGCGCTTTGCAAACCCTGCTCTCTCTGTCTTTGTCTGGCAGCTGCAGCACCACACACTTCTTCTGAACGGCGACGATCCACTGTTCGTATTTCTGTGTTCCAAAACGCCTGTTTTGGATGTGAGATAAGCTCTCTGGAAAGAAAAAGTTTTCCATTGCACCATAATGTCAGTCATTTAAGGTTCTAAGAGTGCCATACCATCTAATTTCCTTTCCTACTCTCTGTGCACAGAATGGTCCTCCTGAAACAGCCCAGGCTCTGTGCAAGGTGCTGGGGATAAAAGGATGGGGAGACGCAGCCCTGTGCTCAAGAGGTTCCGTCTGTGAGTTACTCTAGGAACAGTGCCCTGGGGCTTCTCAGGAACAGCTCACTACAGCAAAAGTCACAGGCAAGCATTATATTTCTGGGTTAAAATGCTCCTGTTTTTCTAATAAAAAAGAACAAAGGAGGCTGCCCAGACAAGTGGCATTGACATGCTGCTCTTTCCTGCCCCAAATTCAAGGCCAGCAGCAAACTAAATGAGTCGGCAAGCATTTACTGAACTTGGTCAGGCATTAAAAAAAAAAGCTAAGTTGAGGACAGGAGGTATATGGGAAATCTCTGTACATTCTGCTCAATCTTTCTGTAAACCTAAAACTGCTCTACAAAAATAAAGTCTGTCAAAAAAATACGCTAAGCAATCTGGAAATGAGAAGTTTGCTGGTGAAAAGGTGGAGGTAGGGTAGTAGAGGCAGAATGATGGGTAAGGAAGTAGAAACTCATGTCTCCCCGCCCCTGCCATTGCCCCACTCGGACAGGTCACCATGTTCCCGGTGATGTCATGGCCTCCTAAGTGTTCTCCCCGCATCTTGCTGCACTGCCTCCAATCTATTCCTCACTCAGCAGCTAGCGGGAGTTTCCAAAATGAAGATGAGAACCTATGCTACCCCACCGCTTCAGAGCCTTTATTAGATTCCTCTGGACAAACTCCCACCCCAGCTCGCAGGGGTGATCCAGCCCAGCCGGCTTCTGATCCCCATCTCCGGATGGTCCCCTCCCTGCATTTTACAGGATTAATGCGAGTCCTACACTCTCCCTACTCTCCTGGCCTTCATACATGCTGTTCCCTCTGCTGGAAACATCCCTATCCCACCACCCACCCACCCCAACCCCTGCCGTTGCTTATTTTCATTACGTACTAACTTGGCTTTACTGTTATACAGGAAATGCCATGAGGGCAGGGGCGATGTCTCAGGGACCACACTGTATTCTCATTACCTAGCACACTGCCAAGACTGAGTGAAGGAACAAGGGAATGAACATGTTCAAGGAACAGCTAAATCAAAGGAGGGGAAGGTGAAACTGGAAAGGTAAGTAGAACCAGATTGTGCAGGGGGTACCCAGATTGTCAAGGTAGAGACTTAGAGGGCTCTGCCTGTGTGGCAAAGGGATTCACGCAGGATACTGACATGATAACACTGGTCCTTCAGGAAGACTAATCAGGCAATGGGGGGGGCGTGTTGGGATGGATGGAAAAGAGAGTGAGGGTGGGCAAACCAGCTAGAAGGCTATTAGAATGTCTTAAATCAAGCGGGAAAAGAAAAAGAAAGAAATGCAAAATAAGTGTAAGAGAAGGCGCGACACCATGAGATATCTTGTACATACTAGAAATGCAGTATTTCCAAAACTCTCAGCTCCCCTTGTACCTGGCCAAAGCGGCTCCTAGTTCTGGAGAAGCAGTACCACCCACCGGCATATACACAGAGGCCCAAGCGAGAAGCCTGGGGAAGTGTTCCACCCCCTTCCCTCTCTCACTCCTGCCCAATGCGTTAGCCACTAAATCTGAACACTTCCTGTTTGCAGTACCTTGCACAATCCTTCTCCCTTCACCAACCCACCTCAAAAACCTCTGGTCCTCTTTCTTCACTGGTAACCTTGTCACGTCACTAATCAGTTTAAAATCTTCAGTTGCTGCCCACTGCGTACAGGGTAAAATTCACACTCAGTTTGGCCTACCGGGCCCCTCCCTGTCCGCCCCTGCCGCTCCCTTCAGTCTCACTCCTTCCTACCACTCACATGTTACATTATCATGAAATGCTTGCAGTTCCTAAAAGTCACCGTGCTCTCTCTTCCCTCTGTGCCGAATGCCTTTCAGACCTCACTTAATCATCTCTCCTTTACTTCACTGACTTCAAGCTCTGTCCCGGGAACCTTCCCTCCAGCCAAGCCCAGCCCAGCTCCTGTATGCTCCCGTGGTGCCCACCGTGTACCCCTGCCCTGACCCATGCAAGCTTCTCACGCCTGACTCCCATTGTGTGACTGTCAGCTCCCTGAGGGCCTTGAACCTTGCTCTTTCCATCACCAAGCACAGTACCCGACACAACAAATCTGTGGGGAATGAGGGCATGGATAAAAAGAACAGAATGTGATGACTTCATGAGAGCCTCAAAAGAGGAAAGGTCAAAGATTCCTTCTAGGTTTGAATGAGCCGTCATGGGGAATGGGCGTTTCATTCATATAAAAGGGAAGTCAAGACAGAAAGCTAATTTGGAAGGTCAGAAAAAGCAATACATTGACTTAATATAATATTTTTCAGCTGTGTGTCCTATATTTATTTTGGGTTTGGAAAGAAAAACAATAGCAAGATAAAATAAAAAAGGACTTAGAAGGTTCTCAAATAATCTATAATCAAGAAAGTCAACCTCTGGGTTGGTTTGTTTTTTTTCACCCTACGATTACGATGGTGGCATAGGCAGACATGGCTCATCTCTTCACATAATTGTTATAAAAATTACAACAAAAATAGAAAATAGCCATCACTCAGAATCATCAGAAACTGAGCTGTATGGAAGTCTGACAACTACAGAACTAAGAAATCACATCTGTTCAGAATGTGAACTCCATCAACCTAGCTAACACTGTTTGACTCACCTTGGAGATCCCCAGAGATTCTACCCCACCCAATTTATAAGCCCAACTAAGCTGCTTTTCCACATGAACGGTTGGTCTTGGGCCAAGCTTTACAACTACCTAAATCCTATCAAACAAGCCACAGCTGGCTACCGGCCCAGCACTGGCAGCAGCCAGCTTAGAGTCACAGCTTGGCCTTTGCCTGGGAATCTCAAAGCCCAAGACCGGCACAAATATCAGCCATCTTAGATTCTTTTTTGCTCAGGAAGAATGGCCCTGGACAAAACACAGGAGGAGGCTGACCTTGGCCTGCACCACCTGGAAAACACCCACAACACACACCCAGTGGACAGCTACAGACCATGTCAGAGCACCATTGCCCTGCCCCAGCACAGCTGATCCTCCATGGGTGGTGGAGGTTGGTGGGAAGTGGCCACAGCCAATTCTTGCAGCTGACTGGCCTGGGTAAATCCCTCCCATTGACCTACCAACAGCAACCAAGGCCCAACTACAAGAGGAGGGTGTATTCAGACAACAGGAAGGGCGCACCTCAAATACCCAGGTTGGGTCATAGGGCAGGCTGTGCCACTGGACCCTACAGAACACTGACTACATTAGGACATGCTACCAAGACAGGAAATCATGGCAGCTCTACCCAATACACAGAGACAAACACAGGGAGGCTGCCAAAATGAGGAGACAAAGAAACATGGCTCAGATTAAGGAACAGATCAAAACTCTAGAAAAAGAGCTAAACAAAGTAGAGATAAGCAATCTATCTGATGCAGAGTTCACATCGCTGGTCATAAGGATGCTCAAGGAACTCAGTGAGGACCTCAACAGCATTAAAAAATAGATCCAATCAGAAACAAAGCATATATTAACTGAAATCAAGAATAATTTACAGGGAAACAACAGTAGAGTGGATGAAGCCGAGATTCAAATCAATGATATGGAACATAAGGAAGCAAAAAACATCGATCAAAACAAAAAGAGAAAAGAATCCTAAAAAATGAGGATAATGTTAGCAGCCTCTGGGACAACTTCAAGTCCAACATTTGCATCATAGGGGTACCAGAAGGATAAGAGAAAGTACAAGAAATTAGAAATCTGGGGGACTTCCGCCAAGATGGAGGCATAGGTGGATGTGCCGTGCCTTCTCACACAACCAAGTTTAGAGACAACTAAATATTAGCAACAGAAAACACAGCCAGAACATGGAAAATTGAACTTTTCGGAAGTCCGTTAACAACAAATTCTTCAGCCTGACCGGTAAGGGGCGAAACCAGCGGCTGGTGAAGCGGGATTGCACAGGAGGTCTCGGTCCGACGGACTCAGGCTCGGAATCCAGACGCGCAGAATCCAGGCGCAGGGTTGGACCTAGTGAGCGACCGAGCGAGCCACCAGGCGAGCGACCACAGGGGAGACAGCGGGGGAGCGGTGCTATGTGTTGACTGTGGTCGCGCATTGTGCGCTGGCGGACAGGTGAGGGAGTGGGCGGTTGGACCGGGGCCGGTCGGGTCCCTGCGGCAAGCGGCAGTGGAGGGCACCGCCATTTCCCTGCTCTGACCCCACCTCCACATACAGCGTCATAACCCAGCGACTCTGAGTGGCCCGGCTCTGGTGAACCACGTAATGCGCTGATCATCACGCAGCTGTGAGAAACAGCAGAGGGGGTCGCCATTTCCCCGCTCTGACCACGCCCCCACATACAGCGTCACAACCCAGCGACCTGGGAGTCCAAGACACCGCTTCTCACACTTAAAGGGCCAGAACAGACCAAAAATGTCGCAAGAAGATCTCAAAGCCCCAGAGCCCATAGATCTAAGCAATGAAGAAATAGCAAAACTCCCAGATGCACAGTTTAAAACACTGGTCATCAGGATCCTCACAGAACTGGTTGATTATACCGACAAATTAGACAAATATATGAAGGCGAAACTAATTGAAATGAATGGAATTGCACAGGACACCAATAGCAATGAAAAGGAAACTGGGACTCAAATCAATGGAGTGGACCAAAAGAAAGCAAATAATGGCCAAACAGAAAAGAGTCAAGAAGCAAGAATTCAAAGAAATGAGGAGAGTCTTAGGAACTGCCAGGACATCTTTAAATGCTCCAACATCCGAATTATAGGGGTACCAGAAGGGGGAAAGGCACAGCCACCAGTGGAAAACTTATTTGAACAAATAATAAAGGAGAATTTCCCCAATCTGGCAAAGGAAATAGACTTCCAGGAAATCCAGGAAGCTCAGAGAGTCCCAAAGAACTTGGACCCAAGAAGGAACACACCAAGGCACATCATAATTACATTAGCCAAGATGAAAAGGAAGGAGAGAATCCTACAAGCAGCAAGAGCTAAGGGGACTGTCACCTACAAAGGAGTCCCCATCAGACTGTCAGCGGATTTCTCAAAAGAGACCTTACAGGCAAGAAGGGGCTGGAAAAAGGTATTCCAAGTCATGAAATCCAAAGACCTACAACCAAGATTGCTCTATCCAGCAAAACTTTCATTTAGAATGGAAGGACAGATAAGGTGCTTCTCAGATAAGATCAAATTCAAGGAGTTCATCATCACCAAGCCCTTATTATATGAAATGTTAAAGGGACTTACCTAAGAAAAAGAAGTTAAAGAAACATGAACAGTGAAAGGACAACAAACTCACAGTTATTAAAGACCACACCTAAAACGAAAGCAAACTAAAAGGACAGCTAGATCAGGAGTGGAAACATAGAAATGAAGATCTCAAGGAGGGTTAGCAACAGGGGAGTGGGAGGAGGAGAAGGGGGGAGAAGGTACAGAAAATAAGTAGCATAGATAGTAGATAGAAAATAGATGGGGGGGGGGCAAGAATAGCATGGGAAATATAGAATCTAAAGGACTTGAGACACATGATCATAAACTAAAGGGGGGTAATGGTGGAGATGGGGGGTAGGGTGGAGGGGAATGAAAGGGGGAATAGAACAACTGTAACAGCATAATCAATAAAAAAATAAAAATAAGTTAAAAAAAAAAGAAATTAGAAATCTATTTGAAAAGATAATGAAAGAAAACTTCCTTAATTTGGTGAAGAAATAGACATGCAAGTCCAGGAAGCACAGAGAGTCCCAGACAAGATACATGCAAACACACATCACTCCAAGACACATCATAATTAAAATGCCAAAAGTTAAAGATAAAGAATCTTAGAAGCAGCAAGAGAAAAAAAGCAGTTAGTTACCTACAGGGGAGTTCCCATAAGACTGTCAGCTGATTTCTCAAAAGAAACTTTGCACACTTAAAGAGATTGGCAAAAAATATTCAGCTATGAAAAGTAGGTACCTACAGCCAAGATTGCTCTACCCAGCAAAGCTATCATTTAGAATTAAAGGGCAAATAAAGAGCTTCCCAGACCAGAAAAACCTAAAGGAATTCTTCATCACCAAACCATTATTATTTGAAATGTTAAAGGGATTTATTTAATAAAAAGAAGATCAAAACTATGAACAATAAAATGGCAAAAAATACAATCTATCAACCACTGAATCTAAAAAACACACTAAGCCAAAAAACACCAAACAAGAAGAACAGAGACAGAATCATGGATAGAGAGAGCATTTTAGTGGTTGATAGTAGGAGGCTGTGGGGGAATGGGTGAAGAGGTAAAGGGATTAAAAAGTACAAGTAGGTAGTTACAGAACAGCCACAGAGATGTAAGGTACAGTACAGGAAATGGAGTAGCCAAAGAACTCACACACATGATCCATGGACATGAACAATGGTGTGGGGATTGCCTGAGGGAGTGAGTGGTGTTCAGTGGAGGGAGCGAAGGGGGAAAAATCAGGACAACTGTAATAGTATAATCAATAAAATATATATATTGCAAAAAAGTGAACCTCTTGAAATGGTCTGAACTGAGGAGAATGCAAACAAATGTCAGCGAACAATTCATGGCTATTTCAAAAAGGAGAGGATACAAAACAAGATTTATCTTACCAAGGCTTATGGTACCGAGTTCATCAAAGACACTCTTTACCAGACCCTCTGTCTCTTTCATCAGCTGAGAGATGATACATTCAAATCTGCGGGTAGTTCGTGATTCCACTTTCCTGAACACTAGAACCATCAAAGGAAAGTGAGTATTTTTCAGGAAACATACATGAGAGTTTAAAGTAGGCATCTCTAAAACTTTCTCTACTTTTTAACATCCTCTGTAAAACCAGAGGACCCAAGTTCACAGACAGCTCACCTAGATGATAAAAAAAAAGCTCCAAAACCCTGCAACAGCTCTCTCATACTTAATGCACTTCTCTAACACATCTACTATGCTCTGGGTCTAATCCACCTTCTCACTCTGGCTTTTCTGTTTCTCAATACAGAGCCCCTGCTCCGATGAGGCTGGTATCTGTCTTATCTCTGCAAATGCCACACTTTCTGCCTGTCTCTGTTCTTTGATCCTTTCCCATCCAACTCTCAGGAGTGTTCACACTGTTCCTAACATGTATTATTGCATTGTTTCAGCAGAAATTTATTCATTGCCCACCACATGCCATATTCTGGTGACAGAGAGTTGAAAAGAACACACTCCATGCTCCAGAGAGGTCTGTATTCTCAGGGGAGAGGAAGATACGTAGCCAAATAAATGCAAGTAGCGTGCTGCGAGATGAATGTGCACAAATGTCGTGGAGCACAGGGAAAGGACTCCAAGTGCTTTCAAAAGAGGCAGTGTTGTGGGATAAACAGGGCAAGAGGAAAGGAGAAAGCAAACACAGTCGTGTACAAAGCACGGCATGGACAAAAGTCAGAAAGCATATGACACATCTGAGGAACCCACAGGAACACGATGATTGGGCTTAGGGGGGCTGGGAGATGAGGCTCAGAAGGCATGGGGGGTGGATTATAAATGAATGTGTACTGGATTCTAAAAAGTTTAGATTGTGTACCTTCTCTAAACCCCCCACAGGCAGCTCCCAGAACAAAACGTAACTGCCCCCTCCCTGACTATTTCACGAGAGTTTGCTCTGCTGTACACAGTCATAGGCCATTCAGAAGCCATGTGTGTCTCATCCCCCCTTTTCGCCCTCGCCGAATGGGTACAGCATTGGTATCCAATACACATGCCCTAGTCCATCTTATACAAAATCACATTCTGATCTTTTGAGGTAAGGTATGATGAGTTCAGACAACTTCAGCCAAAGTTATCAGATAAATATTGAAATAATGAATGACCACACCATATCCCCCTCGAGCATGGAACCCTGGGAAGGACTGAGCCTGACTTGTGGAGGTTTACACGCTTAGATTTTCTCATCACCTCTCTCTCATTGCTGGTATCTTTATAAGAGTTTAATGTGACTGGACAGTAAGACTGTTTGCTCTCTATAGGCCATTCCTGAGCTTCATCCATTGCTTGAGGAGAAAGCTCCGTGGAGGAGAAAAGCCAGAAACGAGATTATTTCCCAAGTTAAATACATCCTACTAAACAGAGAAAGGGTAAACATTGAGTGCTCATCCAAATAGCTCTGAACTAGAAATATCAGAAGGTAACAAAGCCGGAAAGGGCTGGTACTGTATCCCACTTACACTTCTGGGGCTTATACACAACTTCCTCCAGTTCCTCCAAGTTGTCCTTGACTGTTGCTACCACTGATGTGTCCAGAGAAGCACACAGCTTGCAGATGTACTCCATGGCTTCGGTTACGTTTTTGGCATCCCCAACGCCAACTGAGGCAGTCAGCCCAATGACCTGTGAAAAGCAAGCCAGACCGTTAGATGTCTGGGAAAAGTATGACATTTCCACAACCCCCCACATAACCCTCTCCTGCTAAAGTAGGCTTTTCCCTTAACTTTGGATAAAGAGCAAGAACATTTTTTTTCCCTGAAATTCTCTATGATGTCGCAAATGGAAAGGTTCTCATTAAGCAAAGCACTGAATAAATGCAGGAGTCGCAACTCATCCGCTGAACACAAATCAACATAGAAACAAAGAGAGGAAATTCTTGCAAGGCAGGACTCCTCTCTGCTCTACCCTTGGACCCCCCCCAAGACCTGTAGAAGGACTTACTGAGAAGGAAAGAGACTGAAGTCAGACATACTTCCATTCCAATCGCGGGCATGCCACAGGGGTGGCAAGTATCTACTACTCTCTAAGTAACAATAGCAAGTGTTAGGTCACAATTGCAATTTCAAATGGTAGCCGTGTGAATTTAGTAAGATAATATTTATAAGGGATTTAGCTTCATGGTCACCTAATATTTGTTGCTTCCTCTAATAGCCACTCAATAAATAACTAAATAACTGACTCATTAACAAGGACTCTTGTTAACTAGTAATTTTTTTTCTGGATGAAAAAGTTGTAAGAAATGTGATTGCCACTGAATTTTGTCTGTGAGCACCATACCGAATTTCTTCTCACCTGTGTTTCCTGAACAAGTGATTATTAGAGAACTTCACCCAATGTGAGATCAGGGTACTACAAATTCATGGTTTCCAACTTCACTTGAGCCCCCAATATGACACAGTCAATTCTTCTGCGCATGAGTTATCTGTCTTCCACTTCAAACCTGCCCTATGCGCCCTGAGCTTCCTCCCCCAATTCCCATCTGATTATACTCAGCAAATGATCCATCTACCTGTCCTACCTCCAAGAGGAAGGAGGGTTATATGCCAGCTTCCCTACCCTCCCTGCTCCCATCCAAGAACTACTCTTGGTCTTGACTCTTCTCACACTCTCTCCTCTGACAACACCAAAAATAGCAAAAATGGTTTTCCAACTGGTCCCCCAAACTAATCCATCTGCATGCCTGCTTATTGCAAACCTGTGGTCGCTCCTGGCACCTTGTTCTATCAGTCATTCCCTCTCTGCCATCCTGCCTCACCTGCTTCTATTTACTGCTTCACACTGTACTCAAGGACCTGTGAATGCACCATGTACATTTCAGGATTCGTGAATGCACTGTGTTCTTCCACAGCTCTGAGCCTCTGGACACACAGTAGCCTTTACTGAAAACCACCCAGCTACTTGCCTTGTAAACTCTCTCCAGTTTTTGCCTAACCTTACTTCTGTCGAGTTGTGCCTTATTTTCATCGCACACTTAGGAGTTCCTCTATTTCTGTTCTGATTGCACCATGTATACATCTCCACAGTGTGCCATCACGATAAATTATGACATAATTCTTACATATTTGGCTCCCCACAAAACTTCAGCTGTTTGAGGAAAAGAACTATGTCTTTTTATATTTGTACCCGCCGTGCTTTGTACAAAGCACGGAGGCACCTGATACATATATGTTGAGTTGATAAATGAATCAAAATTAATCAGTGAGTTACACAATATGCACTTAGGACCTGGGAAGAACATCCTCACTGTGGCCATGAGAGTAAGTTGATAGGATTTAGGAAGGTCACAGCTCTTAGGAGAAATCCACCTGACTTTGCAGATACCTGGGGCAGTGGTTCTGAAGATCCTCCAAGTTTCTGATCTAGATAACTGAACATGATCATATTGTAAGGATGGCGTTTATTGGTGTTGTGGCATTCATCAAATATCATCAAAGTAAAGACAGAGAGTGATGGGATAGTCCCATTTTTAAGGCTATTCACAAGAATCTGGGGAGTTAAAATGATGATGTCACTGTCCTCAATAATCTGTTCCACTGAGATATTCTCAAATGTCAATCCAGATACACCTGAAACTCTGTACCTGGAAAACGACAGAAATTGCCTGTTACCAACCACAGTGTGAATGAGGAACCACAAAGATATGAAACAGTAGATAAGAACATAGATTAAGTTCTCCTTAAGTCTAAAATGAGACAAGTGCTTAGCAGTCTTATACATAGTAAGTGATCGATAAATGCAAGCTAATTAAAACTGCTAAGTATATATTAATTTTTTCAAGCCACCAACAAAGAAAATAGTAAAGAGTAATAGTAAATAAATTATAAAATCATTAAAAAGTTAAATGTGCCATTTAACATAAAATTTATCTCTTAAGTCATTTAATTATTCTGCAAGAGTTAAGCAAAGGAGTTCAGGAGTTCAGGTATAGCTAACAGAACAGACTTGAATTCATGAAGGAGTTACATCCAGATTATATAAAATCTGACTCTACTATAAATTTTTTGAATCATGGTTTTCCAAAAACAAAACAAAGCAGAAAGCACACCAGTAACATAAAGTTAGAGAAAAGTAAGTTGGAGCAACTGTGATACCTACCCAAGTCTTTCAAAATATTGTAAGAACACAGATTTTTGCTGTTCATACACTGGGAGTTGATTAGCAAAAAACACAACCTTCCCCTTTTGTCCTTGCGGAAATTTTTTAAGATGATGTTCACATATAAGAAGCGCAACAAAGGTTTTTCCACAACCTTTTAACATACAAAGAAAAAAAAAAAACATGTTAACTAATATAATACTGTAGCGAGGTGTAGAGAGAGAGGTCCCCCAGACGCCCTTAGCCCTTGGTCGGGGTGTGAGGAGTGGCAGTGGCAGTTAGGGTACCTTTGGTAACAATGGCAAGCTGAGACCTAGCTAATAGCTGTGCTCCCGCCCTGGGGCAAAAGGTGTGTATCTGACTTTCAGAACTACGGTGACTGGTGAAGTAGCCCGGGGTTTGCACAGTGCCTGCACAGGAGGCAGGGAGGCAGTTCCCCCTGCATCACTGAGTCACCCTTGCCCTGACTAAAGGTGGCAGCCAAGAGAATGTAAACAATACAGGGAACTGGCAAATGTAGCTCATTGTGGGAGGAGCCACAGAGGAGGTCAGGTAGGAAGCTCTGGGTCAGGATTTAAACTCAGGGTGGGCAGGAGGAGGTGGGTCTGCCATGAGGGCAGAGAGAGAGATTCCACCATGCTGCCAGTAGTGCGATGGAAGCCACGCAGGCTGTAGGAGCTGGTCAGCCATTGGAGGAATGATGTAGCAGCCATGTGAGAGGAAGCCATGAGCAGGCAGCTATGCAGCCTGTAGTAAGGAATTCGGCCATGCAGCCTGGGCTAGTAAGAAGGCAGATATGCTGCTGCTCCGATCGTGCCCACCCTGGCGGACTCCAAAGCCACCAAGGACCCTGCCTTGCAGACCCAGACCCTATATGGACTCTTGGGAGTTCTGTCTTTCCTGGACTCCTCCATGATCCACAGCATATGCTTCCTGGACTATGGCACGGAGGCTGATGACAACGTACCCCAGGTCCTGGAGGACAGTGACTCTGGGGCCCACAGGCGTTCTTTCCAGAGGAGATGGAGAACTGTGTGCGCAGCCAGCTTAAGATGAGGAGATGGGGACTACCGGGCTCGGTTCTGGCGTGTAGCCTGGTGGGAGCGAGGGAAGTGCTGGGTCTCCTGGGAGGATGGGGCTCCAAGGAGACATGCTCTCAGGCTCTCAAGGTTGGAATATTGTAAATAAAAACCTGTTTCTTCCAATACTAATTGTTGGGTCATACAGCAAGGCCCCACATGGTGCCCCTGTTTGCTCAGTTCCAATACTAAAATATTTCTGCGGAAAAGTAATTCTTTTGGGCTCTCCTAAAACCACTGGTAGACTAGTAAATTGGTCACGTGGATGGGTTAACAATGGCAAAATTTACACCATGACTAAAAAATGTCGAGCTGCTTCCTAAGTAATATGTACTCAGGGTCTGAAGCAAGCTAAAAGATGGCATTTTTCTTTTGCCCTCGTGTTCTTTAAAATACCTTAAGATACTAATAGGATGGTTTTCTCAAAAGACGAATGGAACAGGGGACTAACTAAAACATGCCCCTTCCATCCCAGTGTGCAGTAAAAGGGACAAAGGGAAACAAACAGAGGACAGAGCACAGACGTCACGGCAATCGCCTTACCGGTGGGAGCACATATTATTGTGTTTTTCCCGTTGATAGCAGGAGCAGCGAGCTCCAGTTGGTAATTTCTGGGCTTCAGTGGGCTGTGAGCACGAGGCACTTCTGAAACACGAAAGGAACAAAATTACCAAACAGCTACTGCTCTGAGGAATCAGGGCAATAGCTGCCTGCTATCAAGTAGACAGGAGTTTCTGGCTCCAGCCAGAAGGGTCTCCTGTAGGAAAGTTTAGAATCCTCGCTCTTTGTTCACTGTTCCAGCTTCTCCACTGATTCTCTTTCAGTGACAAAGTACTGACCGCATGGAAAAGAAAATTCAATTACAAAATGAATGGCTTAATTCAGGGCGAGACAGATGGCTTCCAGTTAAAGGAAATGCCACATGGAACAAAACAGCAACAAATGCCTTCAAGATCTTCGAAAAACTCTAAATTGTAAATCCTGAATTCCCAAAGCAATCTCTTATTGAGGAGTAATTCTGCTCTGTAATTCTACGGGCTCTCACATGGTATTTTTCTCTCAACAGAACCAGAAGTTTTAAAAAACAATCAGAGGCTGTATCTCACTAACAAGATTAAGCATGTAGAATGTTAAGAGCCACAAATACCTTGAAAAATCATCCTTTGAGTCCAATCTATCCATTTTAAAGAAAAAGAATTTCTAAAAGGTTAAGAGAGTACACCAAGGACTTTTACATGTCAGAAAAGTTTAAAGCAACTTCTACTCATTGATCTTATTCTGGAATGACAAAACACTCGTATCATTCAGTTGCAGAAGTAATCTGTAAATTTGGTTCTTGCGGTGTTACGCGCAAATCACATCTTCTAATGTTAGTCATTGTGAATCATAATTTCTCCCCTGATGCCCTTTAGTAAATAACTTTTTATTATGGCTTATTACATAACTTTCTGGTCTCCTCGTGAAAATGTGCTCCCAGAACCGTGACGTGGGCCTTACCGGGCCACAGCTAACTCATCCGGTGCCTTTGTATGAATTAGTAAAAGCGCCCTCATGAAGGACCTAGACCCTCAGTGCACCGTGCGACATACAGCGCCGCCGGGTCTCGTCCCCACTCAACCTCTCAGCCCAGCACACCTGTGCGGTGCACACACTTCACCCTCTTATGCTGCAGCCCTGGAAACAGGGAAAGGAAAGAAATCATACAAGGAAACTGACCACGGGACTCCCAAATGGAAGTATTTCTTTGGAAGGCAGGGCTGATTTTGAATCCTGTCTATGAAAGCAAGATTTCATAGACATTGAGTTTCTGGGAAGACTATTTACGTTTTAAGTGTACACAGGCCTATACTTTCTTAGTGATAAAAGAAGACCAACAACAAGATAAAAGAGGAATAAGAAGGGGACAACAGCTATGGTGGGAGGAGAGTGACATTGCTAATCACAGAAAAAAGCAATATTGTCATGTAAATTCTCTTTTCTTTCTTTCTTTCCCTTAAGAACCTTCCTTTCAGTACGGAGAATGTGTCCCCACACAAAACATCCGAAGAGCACCATTGTGGAAGAGAAAAAGCAATGCTGGTTACCTGAAGGTGGGCCTGAATTCTGACTGAGATTCTGGCATTCGGGTTCTTCCTTGTAGAAAATCTGCACATCGGAAGTTTCTACTTCCTCCTCCTCAAGGTCTTTCGTTTTCTCTTTTGCACCTTTGTGAGATCAAACAACATCTTAGAAACTTGATATAACCTGATTCTAGTGTGAAAGCTTTACAATGAGCCTGTAACATAAAATTTTCAGAATTTTGCTTGTAACAAAAACTTTGAGTTCCCATCTCAGTTTGGAGTTTGAACTCCAATGTTATTTGGGACTTTCTCATTCAAAGTAAGAAACATAGACCAGGAATTTCCAGAATGTGTTAGCAACGGAATCAGAACCTGCCTTCGAACAAGATCCCCAGGTGACTCACAGGCACACTAAGAAGAGAAGCATGATTTAGCAGATATTTATGTCCTCCATTCCCGGCCAAACCCCAAAAATCAGAAATCAGAAATCAGATGTGTATTTATACAGACAATTTCTGGAACAACTTGAGATCAAAAGAAGCCTGGGAAAAGTAAGACCCTCAGAGGGTTTACCAAACTCAAGTCTCTAAAACAATACTCTGAGGTTAGTTAGCTTCAGGAAGTCAAGAGATGGCTCAATTAATCCCACTAGGTTCTTTTCTTTCAATCCTGTTCTGGTTCAGCACCAGATGGCTTCTAGGCAGAGAACCTAGCAACATCTGTCTTCAATCTACTGTGAAAATGGGTGAGTCCTTTTTCGTCTTTTTAACTCTAGAATTTGCAAGCTATTTCTCCAATAAACTAAACCCAGACAGTGAGCTCAGATTCTGCCTTCCCCAAATCCTTTGGACCAGATGGGCTAATTCTGGGGAGAATGGTTTGCCTACCTTTGTCTATAATCCACAGTTCTGTGAAATTGCTCTCTTCTTTGTCCAAAGCAAGTTTCAGAGATTTGGGCCAGTTCTCCTTGTCTGACCTGAGAAGGCACTCAACCATCTTCTCTGCACCTGCCATTGGTCCCTTGTTGGAACAAATCTAAGCAAGACAACTGTAGTTGACCAATCAAGTATTTCAAAGTTTTCCTTTTATGAGTTTTTATTCCAGAAATACTTCAAGTGCTATCACTGTACACTATGGTTCAATAGATCTTATTTGTGACCACTTTTGCCCCATCCAATACAATCTTTTCTTTAAAGATTTATTTATTTTTTAGAGAGAGGGAGAGAAACATCAATGTGAGAAACATTATACACACCTCAACCGGGGACTGAACCTGTAACCCAGGCATGTGCCCTGACCAGGAATCGAACCAGCGACCTTTCACTTTGTGAAAGGATGATCCACCAACTGAGCCACACCAGTCAGGGCCATTCCACACAATCTTTTAAGATACCCTGTTCTTTGCCCTTGTCCTCCACATATTATATTACTATGTCAAGCCAAGCATTCTCACCTTCTTTGAGATCTTATAGCCAATCATTATCAGCAACATTAGGAAAACAATCCACTTAATGGCTATTCGAGATATGGATATATTGGCATAGATATTTGGAAAAATAAAACCAAATATTAATGAATTTTTTTTCAGGGTAGTGAGACTTACATGACTATTATTAATCATAATAAGCAAAATTTATAAGCACTTATTATTATGTGCCAAGCATATATAAGCACTTTACATATATTATCTCATTTAATTTTTATAAAAATTTGGTATTGAGGTACTGTGACTATTTCCATATTATACGTGAATAAATGGACTCAGAAAAACTAAGTAACTTGCCTAAGATCACACCCCTAGTAAGTGGCTGAGCTAGGACTCTAACAAAATGTATTCAGGTCCACAGCCCGAACGCTCAACCACTCGAGTCTATGGCTTTTTTCTTTTCATTTGCTGAACTGTTTATTTTACCTGAAAATAGGGCAAATGTGAAAAAAAAAAAACTTGTGACATAAAAATTACTCAGTTTGAGCCCTGGCTGGTATAGCTCAGTGGATTGAGCACGGGCCTGCGAACCAGACAATTGCGGTTCAATTCCCAGTCAGGGCACATACTGGGGTTGCAGGCTGGTCCCCTGCAGACCAGTTCCCAGCAGGGGACACACCAAAGGCAACCATACATTGATGCCTCTCTCCTTCCCTTCCCCTGTAAATAAAAATAAAATAAAATAAAAAATAAAGACATTAAAAAAAATTACTCAGTTTGAGACAGGATAGTAAGAAGCTAGGAAAATTCCTGGGCAAGTGGCACAGAGAAACTGAGACAAGAAAATTAAAGTCAAACAGCTGACCTCAAGACCCTATCCTCCTAACCAAATACAAAACCTCCCCGGCCACAAACCACGGCCTCTGGGGAAGAGAGGAAGAGGAATTCTAAGGCAAAGAGAGATAACACCTGAACAAAGGAACCAGCTTGGGAAGAAGCTGCAGACTGCTCTTTCAGCTCCCCCTCCCAAGAGAAACTGCCCCTCTACACTCCCCCTAGAAATGTCCCCCTCCCAAATTCCTACCTTTCCCTTACATACGATTGCTCCTGAACGCTCCAGGTAAGCCACGTTACCTGAATGTTAGGGTTTTAACCAGCCACATTATCAGACTTCTAGCTTCTGATATTAATAAGAGCACCTTTATAATCCAGTCCCTGTCTCTGCTTTTTGGCTGAGTGGTAACAGACAGCACAAGCTCTGGACTCCGTTGCCCCTGGTTTTAAGTTCACAATTAAATGTATTATTCTCGACTTCCAGCCAAGATGGAGGTGTAGGTACACACACTGTGCCTCTCACACAACAAAAACAAGGACAACCAATTTAAAAACAAAAAACAACCAGAACTGACACAAAATCGAACTTACGGAAGTTTGACAACCAAGGAGTTAAAGAAGAAACATTCATCCAGACCAGTGGGAGGGGTGGAGACAGGCAGCCAGGTGGAGAGGATTCGAGGCAAGGTACTGGCTGGTGGACGGGGTGAGGTGGGGGATTACTGACCGGGCAGTCCCACATTCCTGTGCAGAGAAACTGGGAGGAACCACTGGGGAGCGAGACAGACTGCGCAACCCGGGGCTCCAGCCTGGGGAAACAGAGCCTCAAAGCCTCTGGTTGAAAACACCTGTGGGAGTTGAGGGTGCAGTGGGAGAAGCTGCCGGCCTCACAGGAGAGTTCCTTGGAGAGACCACCGGGTCCTAGAATGTACCTAAGCCCACCCACTGAAAATCAGCACCAGAAGGGCCCAATTTGATTATGGGAAGTGGGGAAGTGACTGAAAACCAGCAAAGAGCAGAGCAAGAGACATTATTCCCTCCCAGACCCCTCCCCGAGCTACAGCGTCACAATGCAATGCAGTAGGTTACCCCACCCTGGTGAACACCTAAGACTCCGCCCCCTACTACATAACAGGAGCTCCAAGACAAAAAAAAAAAAAAAAAAAAAGGCCCAAATGCAAGAACAGATCAAAGCTCCAGAAAAAATACAACTAAGCAATGAAGAGATAGTCAACTTATCAGATACATAGTTCAAAACACCGGTAATCAGGATACTCCAGGAACTCACTGGGTACTTCAATAGCATAAAAAAGGCAACAATGAAGGTCACATTATGTGAAATAAAGAAACATCTACAGGGAACCAACAGTGACGGGAAGGAAATCGGGACTCAAATCAACAATGTGGACCAGAAGGAAGAAAGAAACATTCAACCAGAACAGAATGAAGAAAGAAAAATTTTTAAAAATGAGGAGAGGCTTAGGAACCTCCAGGACAACATTCCAACATTCCAATGTTCCAACATCCAAATCGTAGGGGTGCCAGAACGAGAAGAGGAAGAGCAAGAAATTGAAGACTTATTTGAACAAATAATGAAGGAGAACTTCCCCAATCTGGCAAAGGAGAGATACTTTCAGGAAGTCCAGGAAGCTCAGAGAGTCCCATACAAGTTGGACCCAAAGAGGAACACATCATAATTATATTACCCAAGATTAAACATAAGGAGAGAATCTTAAAAGCATTAAGAGAAAAGGAGACAGTTACCTACAAAGGAGTTCCCATTAGACTATCAGCTGATTTCTCAAAAGAAACCTTATAGACAAGAAGGGGCTGAAAAGTAGTATTCCAAATCATGAAAGGCAAGAACCTACGTCCAAGATTGCTCTATCCAGCAAAATTATCATTTATAATAAAAGGGCAGATAAAGTGCTTCCCAGATAAGATCAAGTTAAAGGAGCTCATCAACACCGAGCCCTTGTATGAAATATTAAAGGGACTTATCTAAGAAAAAGAAGATAAAAAATATGAACAGTAAAATGACAATAAACTCACAGCTATTAACAACTGAACCTAAAAAAAAAAACAAAAATAAACTAAGCAAACAACTAAAACAGGAACAGAATTGCAGAAATAGAGATCACATGAAAGATTATCAGCGGGGGCATAGACGGGGGAGAGAGGAGGAAAAGGTACAGAGAGTAAGTAGCACAGATGTTAGGTAGAAAATAGACAGGGGGAGGGAGAGCAGTATGGGAAATGTAGAAGCCAAAGAACTTGTATGTATGACCCATGGACATGAACTAAAGGGGGCAAATGTAGGTGGGAGGGGATGTGAGGGTAGAAGGAAATAAAGGGGGGGGAAATGAGACAATGAGACAACTGTAATAGCATAATCAATAAAATACATTAAAAAAAGAAAAATAAATAAAGGTATTATTCTAGGTAATTATATCTTAGATTTGTGGACTTTTGTGGATTTCAGTGATCTTTCTTAGGTCTAAAACAGTATAGAAAAGAGAAAATATTTTCCATGTTCAAATTATTTCCCCCAAATTCAGAATTTTATTATAATTAAATTACCTGTATAATTTCTTCACATTCCTGATTGATTAAACATTTAGATATTTCAGGAAGAATATCATTTGGGTTAATTCTGGTTTTAAATTCTGGTTGCAAACGCCTTAATAACGATCTATATTCCTCCAACTTTTCAATTTTTTCAAAATTCCAACTTTCAAAAGCTTCATAAAGTCCAGAATAACCTGAAAGAAAAAAAAGGAATTGACTGTTTTTATGAAACCAACTTAAAAATTGTGGGGTCACTACATGGCCCTTCCCCTCCCATCACTGAGGGCCGGTCAGGTGGCCCCTGGCCAGAGGGGATGTGTGTTGTTTTGGGAATGTATTGTAACTTCCTCCTTATAAACTTTTCAGAGTGCCTTCCTGTCCTGTGACTGCTTCTTGACCTTCACACTGAGGTCATGTAACTTAGAGTCACGTGTAGGACACGTGCCTCCTTCGTCTGGGGCCCCTTAAAACAAGTCTCAGACACAAGGGGGCGCAGGCTCTCTGGCACCCACCGTCTGCGATCAGTGTACTCCCCTGTAAGGTGATAAACAGCATCCATCCCCACATGTGCCAGCCCACTGGTGGGGTTTTGGGGGGAATATCGAGAGCACTCTAGCAGCTCCCTGGTTTGAAGGCTTTGATTCTATTTCACTGGCCCGCTGGTCAGTTCTAAAACCAGAGTTACACTGTCTCGATGCCTATGGCTTTACAATAAATCTGATATTGAGCAGAGAAAACCCAGCCTTCTTAATTCTTCTTTAGGGAATTCCTGACTATTCAAGGATTTAGTTCTTCTATATATATTTTAGAATTACCTTGTCAAACTCATGAAAAAGCATGTAGGATTTTTATTCAATACAATACAATACAATTTTTATTCCATACGATAGACTTGTTTTAAATATATAGATCAATGTGGGGAAAGAGGGCATTTTTACGACATCAAGTCTTCCTCTCCATGTGTAAATCTCCACTTAGGTAGGACTTCTTTAGTATCTTTCAATAATATTTTATCATATTTCCATTCGGACGTTATACATCTTTTGCTAGGTTTGTTCCTAAATATATGCTAACTTTTGGTACTGTTATAAATGATATATCATTTTAGATTAGATTTTCTATTTGCTTCCAATGGGTGAAAATGCAACTAACTTTTGTATACTGATCTTACACCCAATAAACTTGCTAAACTCTCCCCTTAGTTACAATACTCTGTAAAGTCCTTTGGATATTTCAGGTAGATAATTACATTTCTTGCCTGAAAATACTCTTTACCCTCCCTCAGATTAAAAGACATGAGCTCCATGCGGATGCCTCAAAATTAACACCATTTCACTTTCCCGGCAATTCTGAAACAGCCAGGTGACACACTCTGATCTGCGAGTAAAAAGAACGAACTGACCTGCGTGGTGAAGAGCATCCAGAAAGGCCCGGAACCAGCCTTCCTCCTGCAGCTCCAGCAGGAATTTGAGGAAAAGCGAGGCAGCCTCCATCACACCCTTGTTGTTTTTCTCCGCCTGAATATACTGCATCTCATCTACAGACAAAGCAAGAGTGACCCATCGACTGTAGAACCACGAATCGCTGGAGGAAAAACCTGAGAAGGGCTGCCAACCCTCCTCAAATGGGATGGAAACTGTAACAAACCACAGCAATAGCAGGAACTGCAGGAAGACAGCACATTCTCTGCCCATTCTTCACCCACCCACCCTCCTATCCCCTCTGAAAATCCTCCCAGTCCTGTAGGGAAGTCTGGGAGCACACTCCAGGGCAGTCTTAAGGAAAAGGGGAAGGTGGCAAGGTAAGCAAACATGTGCTCACCTCCTGCATGACCACACCAAAATTACAACTGAAATACAGAACAACCATCCTGAGAATGACCGGGAGACTAGCTGAAGAGAAGTCCTCTAACCAAGGGCATATAAAAGAAGCCACACTGAAACTGTTGAAAAATTTAAACAATTATTAAGAAGAAAACCAGTTTCTTACAGATGTGTGAAAAAGTCTCCCACAACAGGCAGAAGTCATGGTGGCATGGACCGGGTGGGAGAACAGAGGCACCCTCTGAGGCAGGAGACAGCACGGGGAAAGCCCAGAGGCCGCACAGCTGAAACTGGCCAGCGTCTAGCATCCTGGTTGCCGGGAAACACCTTTTACCACTTCGGTAGAATAAATAGGAAACCGAGGCAGGGAGGAGGAAGGAGACAGGTCTCACACACTAACTCAGCAGTCCTGAGCCTGGTCTGATAATACTGCCAGGTGTTCCAACATCACAAGAAACACTATGTTAGCAAGAAAGAAGGGAAGTCCCTGAAACTCTACATAGAATTTCCACTATCTGGGAAAGAAAGCCTTGAATTGAAACTGTGCTTTCATCCCAGGGCCTGGAATGCAGGAGAGGGTCGAGGTACCCAAAGAAGCCCATAAAACAACTTTGGTTAATTGTCTACCTCTGGTCACTATCTGTTTTACAAGGGAGTCCCTAGTGCTTACAGGATAAGCCCATAAATAACTTTGGAAAGTACCCCAATTTTAACAAACTGCCTTCCGTCACAGATTTGTTTTACAATAAGATGAACAAGTGGAGTCTGGAGCAAGATAAGGATTCGGGCTAACAGACCCTTACACATACCTAAGTTTGGGTCGTCAAGTCCCCCTGGGAAAGCTGGCACTGCATTTCTCCATTAATCAATATGTAACTTTTTTCTCCTATCATACCCACTATGTAAGTCCTCAGAACAAAGGCCTCTCTCCCTCTTTCTCTCTCTCTCTCTCTCTCTCTCTCTCTCTCTCTCTCTCTCTCTCTCGGTGGCTCAGGGTGCTCTTGGCTCTCAGGCCACCGGGGGCTGGCCACCCTGGTCTTCAGCAGCTCTTACTCTTGCCGCCCTGCTTTGCCCTGAAACTTTGCCTTTCATCCCTCACTCTAGCTAGGCCTGTTCTCTTCCATGGGAATGGGTCACACCAAGAAGCTGACTACACGCTAATACATTTGCTGATCTGTAATCCTTTGCATGCGTCAGCAAGAAGAACCGGGTCTCTCCCCTCAACACCTCCAGTACTTCGATAGTCTCTAGTTCAAAAGTCTGAATGAACTGCAGGACTACGGTTGTGAGGACAGACCCACTCCGTGGCATCAGTAACAATTATAATGGACTCTGCAAGCAGAGTTAGAAATAAACAGAGATATTTTCATGGTCCTTTTGAAAGAAAACAAGAGGAGCTAAAGAGAAACACAGTGAGGCCAAGCAGCAGAAAACCACCCACCAGCCTGCAGGCTGCCATACTGACTCTGTACACTAACTCTAAGTCTGGGGTGATAACCAAACAGTTGCCTTGGTCTGGTCTGGCGTTGGTAACTTTCCACTCTCTTCCCATTGTCAGGGGAATGCAAATCCCAAAGGAGCAGCCAGATGTCTAGATGGTTAACCATTGTCTTCTCTGAGGTTAGAAGAGAACATAGCAGGTAGCAGGCACTAACAAAATTATGTTGAATGAAAAAAAGGAGTGCTTTCCTTCCCCATCTTAGCAAAGATAAAAGTAACCCTCTTAAAGTGTAAAATTCAGGTTTTTGAGAGTTGTGAAACTACCTAATTTGAGTACATTTTCATTACTGTACAAAGAAATCTTGTACTCATCAGCAGTCACTTCCCACGGACCCTCCCCTTAGCCTCGGGCAACCAATGATCTTCTCAGGTCTCTAAGGATTTGTTCATTTTGGACATTTCATGTGGATGTTATCATACAACATGTAGGCTTTGCAGCCGGGTTCTTCCACTGAGCATTCTGTCTCCAAGGTCCATCCCTGTATCTAGCACGTGGGCCATGTTCGGCTTCCCCAGGTAGAATTTCTTGTTCTCTTTCCTGAGCTTTCTCAGCTTCTTCACATGCCTCTGACGAGCACACTGGCACTGCACAGTGCACAGTAACTGTTTGAGGGTCTGTCTTCTCCCTTAGACCACGACCATGGACATGTTGTGACCTTCTTTGTCTCCATCTTTATATTCTAATCACCAACAAAGTGCCTGCCTCATGACTGTGTCTAGAAACTGTTACTGAAGGAACGGATAAATATTCAGAATACTGCTTCCCCAGTGCCCCTCCAATACAGGGTTAGCGTTTAACTCCAAAGGGACATTGCCCACACCCAGGTCTACCTTGAAACATCATGCACAACCTAAGGGAAGTCCTGCAGAACCCCAGGGACCGTGCAAGCCCTCCAGAAGAATGTGTCTTCCATGTTCCTTTCCCAATATCCAACACAGGGAGAGGAGAATCATAGCAAAGGAGACATTGGATACTGCTAAAGTAATTTAAACCTACTGGTGTATTTGTGTGTGTGCATGTGAGAATGCCTAGCATACAGATAAGCTCCCACTGCCTTCTGCTGAGGGCAACAAAAAACAAGTCAAAAAGTGTACAGGCAGCCATAACGCTCATTAGCATTTCTACTCTCTGACTGAATCCTGACTGATAGAATGTACTTGTCACAATTAAAGCTAACCAAGAGAACCCAGAGCTTCCAAAGTGGCCAAGAAAAAAAATTGGACATAGAAAGCTTTATCAGTCAATAGAAAACAGAAAAATAATGGGGAGAAAAGAAGTTTATGGGTCCATGTGTATGTGATAAAGTATAAAGAAATGAACAGAAAGGTTTAGAAACCAACTAAATGACAAAAGTTGCCTCTGGTGAGGGGCTAGAAATAAAACCTCTATAGTTAAAGGTACCTCTATCGTACCTTTAACATTCATAAAGAAGATAATATTGCCCTGATGGTGTGGCTTAATGGATTGGGCGTCATTTCGCAAACCAAAAGGTTCCTGGTTCGATTCCCAGTCAGGGCACATGCCTGGGTTAAGGACCAGGTCCCCTGTTGGGGGGCATGTGAGAGGCAACCACACACTGATGTTTCTCCCTCCCTTCTTCTCTAAAAACAAAATAAATAAAACCTTTACAAAATTTTGTTAATGGAAGTATGCTGTCTATTAATAAGAAACTGGTTGGCCCTGGCTGGCGTGGCTCAGTGGATTGAGTGCAGGCCTGCAAACTGAAAGGTCACCTGTTCGAGTTCCAGGCAGGGCACAGGCCTGGGTTTTGGGGCAGGGCCCCGGTGGGGGGCATGGGAGAGGCAGATGAGGACTGATGTTTTTCTCTCCCTCTCTTTCTCCTTCCCTTCCCCTCATAAATAAATACAATCTTTTTTATAAAAGAATAAAATAGTATTATACATAGTGTTCTTCAGCTTGCTTTTTTTAACTTACATTTCAGTTACTTTTATTGTGGGTGCATTTTCACTATAAAACTAACACGCACATTAAAACTCATCCCACCTCTGTGCTCCCACAGCACACTACGGTTTTCCGTTAAAGCGCTTACTGATGGGGGGGTCAAGAGTCGAAAAATTTTAGTTCAAGGTGATAGTTAACAAGCCTAGTAGTTAATGCAGGTGAAAAGCTATTGTTTCAGGAACTGCAGGTATGGCCCGGCCGGACTCCCGGAGAGCACAAGCCATTGACCTTTGTGCTCCAGAAGAGACCACAAGCAATCAGGGTGGTATCCCAGCGTTTCTGTTCTAGGGAGAGACAGTCTGCCACCCAGGTCACAGATAAAGAACACGACACAGGACACAGATAAAGAACATCACGGGCCAGCAGATGGAAGAATGTCAGGGAAAGGCTGGACTGCAGCTTTCATCTGATTAACCTCTTTCCTGAACCCTAACCCTACACTTTTTCCCCTTGAATTCCAGACCTGTCACCTATACTTTTTTCTCCTTATAAAAAGAGTTGTCTTAAAATGGAATTTGAGGTGGTCTGTTAGGGTACAAACCCACCATCTTTCTCAGATCGCTGGCCATCTGAATAAAGCGCCCATAATGATTTGATCCCTGTCTCTGCTTATTGGGGCTGGTAGGTGACAGGCAGCCCGAATGCTGGCTTTTCCGGTCTCATTACCACACCTCATTATCCATCATTTGTTTAGCTACCTGCCTCCCTACACACATTCTCATCTCTGTCAGGGCAGGAACCATCTCTATCCTGTTCACCACTCAGTTCTAATGCGATGCTTCCTATTCAGTAATATGTGGGGTAACATGGTATATTATCTCCAATGTCAGCATAATGCCCAACACATACGAGTTGCTTCTTTATTGAATCAATGCATGAGCATATGAAAAAATGGAATTCACACCAGCTTATCAGTGTTTCACTCATTCTAGAGAAATCTAAAAGAATGCCTTGCTGGGGCTTACAGTCTTCGGGGGCAGAAGCTACTCTGTGGTCATTAGGATGTTCTGTTGTTACTTCATTCTGAGCTGGGCTAGAAAGTGGGGGTTCACTGCGGGTGGTATTGTCTCACTCCGCACTCCACAGCCTGTGGTTTGGTTTGGCAGAAAACTAGCAGGAAAGTTACCCCATCTGTTTTAACGCGATTTCCAAAAACTGCCTCACATCAGAGAAGATATTTATGCTCCTGGAGTCTGAAAAGGCACTGCCAGATCCACTCCCTCATCTCAATTCCCTTCAGGCACACCTCCCTTCTCTTTCCCCAAAGCCTGTGCTCACCTCCAGCACAAAACACTTGAATACAAATGTACAAAATGCCCATCATGTGTCTCAAAACTGGATAGAAACACCTGAATTGAAGCCTAAAGCCGTTCCGTCCAAGTCTTGCTCCTCTCAAGTTTCCAGTGTTTTGGAAGTGACCGGCAGGTTAAGCATCAACTTCCTTGTAGCTCTGCCAGTATTTTGTAACCGTCTGTGTACTATCTACTGTTCCACCCCAAAAACCCTTGTAAAGGGTTTTAAGGCAGGGCCTGCATGTAATTTCTGAATCTCTGATGTCAGCACAAAACTGAACACCCAGTAGACGTAACTTTTAGTAAAAATAATGGACAGCGACTTGTTTCTTCAGCTTTCAGAGGTGTGCACCCCCAAGAAAGTCATTTCACGTCGCTGGGACTCAGTTTCCCCACCCGGTCCCCAAGGTCACACTCCAACTCTGACAATTTCTAGTCTAAAATGTTGTGGGGATGTTGCCACAAACCCCGCGTTCCCGGCAGGCTCCCGTATCGATTATAAGAAGGGGGCGGGGGAGCAAACAGAAAAGGCCCCCGAACTGTTTTCCTGGCCCAGTGGGGTGCGCGCCGCTGGGGACCACTCACCCTCCTTAAACCAGGGCGCCATGTAGCTCAGGATGTAGGTCGGGTCCAGAATCTTGGTGACATAGCCCCCGAAGGCGTGCAGATTCCGCCGCTCCTCGGCCGTCATAGTCCCGGCTGGGCTCCCTGCGCCTGGGCGCCGCTCCTTTCAAAGCCGGCGGCGAGGCGGAGGGAGGCGGAGTGGACGAGGAAATCTTAATCGCAAATGGAAAACCGAAACTGCAACTGCCCGGAACTGCCGCTGGCGGGGCAGGGTCCCTGCAGGGCGCAGCCCCCGACGCAGCCTCCCCTGCGGTTTCGTGTCCACCCGCCTCCCCTGCTTTTCCCACCCGAGGGCTTTCCCGGCCGCGCGGACCCGCAGGGCGCTCCTGGGCGCGGCGATTTCGGTTTTCATTTACCTTATTATTTTTTGTTTCGCTTTCACAGAGGTGTCCAACCTTTTGGCGTCTCTGTGTCACACTGGAAGAGTTGTCTTGGACCACACATTAAATACAGTGGTACACGTAATCGCAAAAAAACCCCTCATGTTTTAAGTAAATTTATGATTTTGTGTTGGGCTGCAGGTTGGACACCCTTGGAAATGTAGATTCAATAAAGTGCACAGATTTGAGGTGTACAATTCTTCTATTTTTATCAGATAATAATCCTTTGTTGATTTTTTAAGTTATTTTGTTGTTGTTCAATTACAGTTGTCTGCATTTTCCCCCCACCACTCCCCCCAGCCCAGCCGAGCCCACTCCCCTCCCTTGCTTCCACCCTCCCCCTTGGTTTTGTCCGTGTGTCCTTTATGGCAGTTCCTGAAAACCCTTCCCCCATTGTCCCCTCCCCGCTCCCGTGGGGTTATTGTTAGATTGTCCTTAATTTCAATGTCTCCGATTATATTTCGTTTGCTTTTTTCTTTTGTTGATGCAGTGTACAGTTCTGAGTTCTGAAACACGTGCGCGTGGAGCCACTCCCTGTGGGTTGCGTGGGACCTAGGGCAAGAGTGTGTTCAACTTCACACCTGTAAGAACCGCCGGCTGTCTTCCAGACCGGCCTTGCCGTTTTGCACTCCCGCCGGTAATGTGAGAGAGCCCCAGTAGACACACGCCCCGTGAATACATACACTAGTCAGGTTTTTTGTTTGTTTGCTATCTTGGTTTGTGTGAAATGGTGTATTATGGTTTTGGTTTTAATTTCTCAACAGTGATGTTGAGCACATTTGTGTGTATTTATTGGCCACTTGTGTGTGTGTGTGTGTGTGTGTGTGTGAATTTGCTCCTATCTTTTGCCTGCTTGAGTGGTTTGTTTGTTGTATTAAGGATTTACAAGTTCATGTATCCCAAATGTCCTCTCTTAGCCCATGGCTGTTACATTTCCTTAAAAGTATTTTGAGCAAAAGTTTATTTTGGCGAAATCTAATTTATCAGTTGTTTCTTTTGTTTAGTGTTTCTTGTGTCCTTGAATAAATCTTGGTGTACCAGGTCATTAAGTTATTCTTTGCTTTCTTTCAGAGTCTTAGAGTCTTTCGTGTTTTTAGCTTTTACATTTAGGTCTATGATAATCTCAAATTAATTTTGTTGTGGTGTGAGGTCAGGGTCAAGGTTTCATTCCCTCCCCCCATACTTCTAATTGTTCCAGGACAAAGTGTTTCTTTTGTTGAAAAATTTTCCTTTTCCCATTGAATAGCTTTGGCACCTTTGTCAAAAAATCAATTGACTGTTGTGTGCAGATGTATTTTTTAATTCTAACCAGTTCTCTCTATCTATTTGCTGATGTGGCTTTATTCTTCTTTGTACACATTATACTGGCTATTCCAGACTCTTTGCATTTGGCTATGAAATAAGAACCAATATGGCGATCCTTCCCCACCCCCCACCCTGTCCTTCCCCTTCCCCAATACACACGCAGGTGACTGGGATTTTGATCAGGGCTGCATTGAACCTATAGATAAACTTGGGTAGAACTGACATCTTGACAATTTTGAATTCTAATCCATGAACTTCTTTATATTTGTTTAATTTCTCTCAGCAGTATTTTAGTTTTGAACATACAGGTCTTATACATCTGTTAATTCTATCTTAACTATTTTATATTCTTTGATGCTACTCTAAAGAAAATTGTTTCTAAAGTTTCATTTTCAAATTGTTGCTAGTATATAGAAATAAAGTGTTTTTGTTTTTTAATATTGTTCTATACAACATTGCTAAATTCACTTCTTGGGTCTAGTAATTGTTCAGTAGATTCCTTACATTTTGCTAGGTAAGTAATCCTGTCATTTGTGAATCCATGTTTTTTACTTCTTTCCAATCTTTATGCCTTTTATCTTGTTTCCTTATTGCACCACCTACGACCTCCTATAAAAAGTTGAATGAGAGTGGTGAGAGTTGACACCCTTAACCTTATTACTAATCTCAAGCAAGAAACATCTGTGTTTTGCTTTAATTACAATGTTGCCTGTAGGTTTTTTTAGATGCTCTTTATCAGACTGGCATTCTCTTTTATTCCTGGTTGGCTCAGTTGTTATCATGAATGGCTGTTGAATTTTTTAAATGTTTTTTCTTCATCAGCTGAGGTGATCATATATTGTTAAAAATGAATTTCACTGATCAATTTAATTTTTTTTATTTTTCAGAGGAAGAAAGGGAGAGAAACATCAATGCATGGTTACTTCTGGAGCGCCCCCTTCTGGGGACTTGGCCCACAACCGGGGCATGTGCCCTGACTGGGAATCAAACAGGTGACCCTCTGGTTCACGGGCAAGCATACCAGCTGGGCTCATTGATTGATTTTTTAATATGAGACCAACCTAGAATTCCTGGGATAAATCCCATCTGGTCATGAAATAGCATCATTTTTTATAGATTTCTAGACTCAATTTGCTAATATTTGTATATCTATGTTCATAAAAGATACTGGTCTGTTCGTTTCCTTTCTTACAATGTAAGGGTTATGCTGACCTCATAAAACAAGGGTTTGTGTCAGATTGGTATCAATGCTTCCTTAAATGTTTAACAGAATTCACCAATGAAAGCATTGGGTTTGGAGTTTTCATTGTTTGAAGATTATGATGATTCAACTTCTTTACTATATATAAGGCTATTCTGATTTTTTTTAAATTTTATCTCAAGTCAGTTTTGGTAAGTTGGGCTTTTTAAGGAATTTGACTATTTCCTCTAAGTTATTAAATTTATGGCACAAAGTTGTTTTTGCTATTCCTTATTACCCTTTACCTTTTTAAAAAAATTAATCTTGCCAGAGATTTAACAATTTTATTTATCTTTTAAAAAAACCAACTTTGGCTTTGATATATTTTAAATTGTTATTCTGTTTTCTATTTCATTGGTTTCCATTCTGATCTTATTTTCTCCTACTTTGAGTTTAACTTGATAATTTATTTATTTTTTTCCTAGTTGGTTAAGGTAGAAGTTTAGCTCACCAATTTCATATACCTTTCTTTTCCATTAAGGCATCTGCAGCTATAAATTTTTCTCAGCTGAGTTCTACCATCCCACCAATCTTGACACACTGTTTCACTGTCATTGCATGTGACATAGTTTCTAATACCCCTGTGAATTCTTCTTTAATCTACGAGTTTAGAAGTCCGCTGCTTATTTTTCAAATATTGGGAATTTTCTAAACATTTCAGGGCTATTGACTTCTGATTTTAATCTGTTGAGACACTCAATATGTTGTAAGATTTTGATCTTTTGAAATTTATTGAAACGTGTTTATGCCCAGCATATGAATGAACTATATCAGTGTATGTTCCAGGTACACTGGAGAATGTGTATGTTGCAGTCCTTGGGTCATGTTCTATAAATGTCAGTTAGTCAGGCTGAGTTATAGTGTGGTTCACGTCTCCTACATCCTTAGTTATTTTCTACTTGTTCCATCAAGTACTGAGAGGGGGTATTCAAATATCCAACTATAAATACTTATTTGTCCATTTGTCCCTTTTGTTTTATCAGTTTTTGCATAATTTTGTAGCTCTGTTATTAGATGCTTACACATTTAGGGTTGTTAAGTTTTCCTGATAAATTTTAACTTTTATCATTATAAAATGGCTGTTTTCATCTGTGATATTACTATACTTATAACAGGCTTCTTTTTTAAAAAGATTTTACTTATTTTTAGAGAGAGAGGGAGGGAGAAAGAGGGAGAGAGACATCGATGTGCAAGGGAAACGGATTGGTTACCTCTCGCACACACACAGCCAGGGACTGCACCTACAACCCAGGCATGTGCCCTGGCTGGGAACAGAACCAGTGAACCCCTAGGTTCACAGGCCAGTGCTCAATGCACTGAGCCACACCAGTCTGGGCCCTGCAACAGCCTTCTTACGCTTCCTGTTTGTATGGCATATCTTCTCTTATTGCTTTTAACTTCTCTGTTAATATTAAAAGCACAACTCTAGTATAGAGCTTATGCCTGGGTCTTTTTTTTTTTAATCCAGTCTGACAATCTCTGCCTTTTAATTCATGCAATAAGTCCATTACCTTTAATTATTGACATGGGCTTTTTTAAAACTGCAATTTTGTTTGTTTCATCCAATTTTGTTCCTCTGCCCTCTATTCCTTCAGCTTGGGTTATCAAACACACTTTTACCTTTCACTTTTTAAAAAAGATTTTATTTGTTTTTAGAGAGATGGGAAGGGAGGAAGAAAGAGAGGAAGAGAAGCCTCCATATGAGAGAGAAACATCAAATGGTTGCTTCTCACACTCCCCTAACCTTAACCTGCAACCCAGGCATGTGCCTCAGCGGGGAACCAAACCGGCAACTTTTTGGTTTGCAGGCCAGCACTCAACCCACTGAGCCACAGCAGCCAGGGCTAGTTTTATCTCTTCTTACTGTAATTCTTGGCACAGTCATATGCTGCTGAACAATGGAGATAAGTTCTAAGAAATGCCTCGTTAGGTGATTTCATCATTTCGTGAACATCAGAGTGCACGGACACAATCCTTGATGCCGGCTGTGTGAGACAGCCGACTGTTCCTAGGCTACAAGCCTGTACAGCATGTTACTGTACAAAACAACACGAGGGTGAATCAAGCACAAAAGAAAACAGTGCAAGAGACACAATAAGCATGAGTTGCACAAGGCTGCTGCTTGTATTATGCAGCATATGTTGTTTTGCAGGAAACTATTTTTGTAAGTATAGAGTACACTCTAAAATAGCGATATTTAAATATAGTGTAGTAAATACATAAACCAGTAACAGCCATTTATTCTCATTATCCAGTACCATGTACTGAACGTGACAGTACATGTCAGACTTTTATATGACTGGCAGTGCAGTTGCTTCACACCTGCATCACCACAAACACGGGATAAGGCGCTGCGCTGTAATGTCACAACAGCTAGGACGTCCCTGGATGATGCGAATTTTTGAGCTCCATGACAATTTTATGGGACCACTGTCATATATGCAGTCT